GGGAAAATATTAGAGAAAATCAATGAAACCACAGGTGATTTTTGCACTTGATCTTAGCCAAAAGGCCGAGAAGTGATCCAAAGGTGATTTTGGGGGAAAAAACAAAACAAAAACCAATAAACTCGACAAATATCCAGTTAAGCTAACAAAGAAAAAAGGGTGAAGACAAATTGCTAATATCAGGAACAAATTGCTAATATTCGTCCCATGGACATTGAAAGACTAATAAAGAAATAATATTATGGACAACTCTCTGCCTACAAATCTGATAAAAAATTAAGTGGACTAGTTTCTTAAAAGACACAAACTAACAAAACTCAACAAAGAAAAATAGATCCTCTGAATAAGCCTGTAGCTGTTAAAGGACTTCAATCAATAATTAATAGTCCTTTCCCAAAAGAAAGCACCAGGCCCGGATGGTATCACTGGTTTAATTCTATTAAACCATTTCAACTATAGTCTCTTCCAAAAAATAGAAGCAGGGGCATCACCTCCTAACTCATTCTATGAGGACAACGTTACCCCACTCTCACGCTGCCTTCTTGGAGCCCAGCTAGTGTCAGAAATAGTCCCAGCTCAGAGTCCAGGGTTGTACATTGTTTTAAGTTTTACCAACAAGAACATGTTGATATATTTATTTTACATTTTTTAATTATATTTTACTTCTTTTTTTATCTTGCATTTTTAAATGACAATGTGCATCTCCCTCTAACCAGATGGGTGTCACATCCCAGAGTAAAGAAAGCGACACTCACTGCCCACATCGCCTGTGAGTGTCGCTTGGCCCCACCTATTTTCACTTCCTCCTGTCTTGTGTCAGAGGTACTGAACTGACTCTCGGACTTTGAATAAAACTGGTTCCCAACTAACAGGAAATTGGAGAAAGTTTGACAATAGTCAGGCATTTGATGTGGATGTTAATTTTCCTAAAAAGGCCTTTTCTGGACAGAGTTGACTTGGGGTAGGGATAGAGGAGGGATGGGGAAATAAGATGGTTCAAGGCTGTGAGAAATAATTGAGCTTTGCAGCAAGGCCCAGCTGCATGGCCGTTGTAAGGAAATACAGTGGGGTGACTCACGTGGCCTTAAATTTCCCCATTTTAATTTTAAAAACCTGACGTGCCCCTTATCTATCCATTTGCAACCTCAGTCTCTTGCACACCTGTGGAGTGAGGCTGGGTAGACAGAAAGAACAAGGGTAGATGCCGACCTTGCCAGAAATGAAGAACAGAAGAGAAAGCCAGAACTGACCTGCAGCTGAGATTGTTGCCTTCACCTGCCATCTTCTACTGGCCGCCCAGGGCAATGCAGCTGGCCTAGAACCTTGCTTGGTCGGACAGACCGTCTCTGCCTCTCTGCCTTCTTCTTTCCCGGAGTTCTAATGAAGATGAGGATGGCTACCCATTGCAGAATCCTTCAGGCAAAGCACCCAAAGGGTAAAAGAAAAGTGAAATGGCTGATCACTGAGACGTGTCTGTCCCTCCTCCAATCTCCAAGGCAGTTCTCTGCCCCAGGAGGAGGAGCAAGGCCAGATTAAGGCGGAAGATGGGGCCACTTGTTCACACAAAGGAAAAATGGAGGGGAAGTCTAATTAACTCAAAGGAATTAAAGTTGTTTGGGGGTGAAGACGGTACCATTGAGTGGCGATTAAGTGAACTTCGCATTTGCTCCTTCCCCTTGCTGAGGTGGGGTGAGAAGGAAAAGGAAATGTGAAACATTTCAGATCCTCTCTCAGGCCCATGGGCTAGCCAGGCACAGTGGCGAGCCTCTGACGGACCCAGGTAGGCCCAGTGCTCAGACACGGGCCTGGGGACAGCCAAACGCTCAGCATTATAAAATGGGGAAGAGGCTCTTCCAATTTCTGGAAAGCAGCCAGAGTTCAGAGAGAACTCTCTGAACTTGTGCAATCAGAGGGAAGTGCTAGGGTTGGGCACAGAAGCCTGGTGTAGAATTCTAAGGTTTCTTGAATATGTGGACACTTTACAAATACGGCCAGAGTTACTAGGAAAAAACCAAGCCTTGGCTAGTCACTGAAACCCTGAGGAGAGCTACCGGCATCTCATCAGACAGGGGAAGGTTTAGAACTGAGATTCCCTGGCCTTAAACGTCAAGGTGATGCTAGTTAACCCGTGTGTCACATTTATGTTTGCCCATAACTTTTTCACATATAAACCCAGCCCTCTTTCTGGAAGGGATTTGAAGCAATGTATAAAAACACACGGTATCAACACAAAGTTGAAAAATAAAGAAATGGGAACAATGTGCAAATAAAATAAATACCCAAAACTAGAGGATAAAAATCCAGGCAGGACAATGGGTCAAAGACAGAAGAGGAACCAGGGTCTCTGTAGAACCCAGGGCCTCAGTCACAGCAGGGAGCCAATAGATTGGGAAGCAGAGCAATCCCAATTTTTCTAGCTCATTATAAATGTGTTCAGAATTTTGCATAAATATGTTTGCAAAACATAGAAGGCAAGAATTTCTATCCCTCTGTCAACTTTTGCTCTTTCTTTCCCACCAAAAGATTCCAGGACAGTGGGCAGGGTCTGTGTGCCTACCAGGTGCTGCACAAACATGCCTTCCGCTCCCTTCCTTCCCCCATCTTTCTCTTCCTCTCTGTCCCTCCCACGTGCCCTCTGTCCCTCCCACGTGCCCTCCATCCCTCCCCCCTCTCTTTCCCTCACTCCCTGTCTTCTGACCTTGTGGGCAGAGGAGCTGCTAAGCTGAGCCTCTGTTAGGCACCACCATCCTCAGTTCTCAGCCTCTGTGGGCCATAGTGGCCCAGACAAAGCCTGGCACAGTTCACACCAGCTACTCTGGTGTCCCTCTTTCTCCTCTCTCTCTGCCCCAGGCAGCAGGCCAACCCAGGCTACCACTGAGCTGGGCAGTGGCATCGACGTGCCGGTTTCTTTTGCTTATAAGCACAAAGTCTTTGATGTTCCTCAGCTGACCAGTGGTGCAGCTGGGATCGAAGGGGTAGTCCTTTCAAATTTATCAGAAAGCCCTACTTTGCAACGTCATACATCAGTCCAGGTAACAATGTGCTGGGATTTTAGGTTCTATTTTCCACTGTCCTGTATTTCTCTACATTCCCTAGAGAGTCAGTCTTCTTTTCCTTCCATGGGACCCATGGGGTAAGAAAATGCCAGCCTGCCTCCTTCCCCTGTCTCCTACCCAGATTTAGGTCAACTAGGTGATAATCCCTGAAGGCAAGCTGATGTGTTCTTTCTACCTGAAAGATTTCTCTTGACTGCATTAAGTGTGCCAATATCTGACACTTGGGATCGGGGAGCAAATTGTAGAGTTCTGATCACAATCCAGCGTTATAAGTTAATTTGCTAACTTGCCCTTGCTTACCAAAGTCTAGCACATTCCCATCTTGGAACACTCAAGGAATGTTTACTACTTTCATGTATCTGACCAATTAGGTCAGATAACCAATCCCAGATTGACCACATTTCTCTGAAGATCTGTTGCCTATAATGTTCTCTGGTACCAGTTTTTTAACCAGTTCAGGTTTGGGGGCACAATTAACTGAATGGACTCTGGCTAACTCAGCAGAAAATCAATTTCTTGGAAGTATGTTTGTTAGCTCGCAGAATCTACGGGAAAGCTGGAGAACTGGGATGAGAAAACAGGCTATCGGGGCAGTAAGAGCACCGGCCCAGGTCACCCCACAGCCTCAGGTTCACGGTGTGTGGCCATTGATTTGGCAAAAGTATTCTCTCCAGTCTGATTAGAAAGGAGAATCAGGCCTTCTCTCCCCTAAAGGGAAGAGCCCTGTTCCCTCTCCTGGCAAACAGAGAAGTGTTTGTGACGACTCGTGTTTATTCCCCCATCCGGAACAACCCCGGGATGGGCTCTGCGGGATTCAAAACTCCACTCCCTCCTCAGCTCGCTCTGGACAGTAACCCTCAGATCCAGGAGCCCCACAATCCACCTCAGCGCTCCCTGCAACACATCGCTCTCCATGACCATAGGGGTAAAAAAAAAAAATAGAAAAGAGAATCAGAAAGTTTTCACTCTCACACAACAGACAAGAGTTTTCACTTACAGTTTTGTTTAGGGATGGCATTAACTCACCTGCCCTTTGTCATAATATAGTTCAAAGACATCTGGATCACTTGGACATCCCATAGACCATCAGACTGACTGCTGACATTAACAACATCATTGTGAGCAGACAGAACAAGCAAGAGGTGGCCAGCACACCTGCCAAAGAGCAATAAATTACTGATGTGCAGGAACTGAAATAAATCTCAAAAGCACTGTCATGCGCAAAGGAAGCCATAGATGAAAAAGCACACATTGTATGTTTCCATTGACATACAGCTTTACTACAGACAGAAGGAATCTGTAGTGATAGGAAGCAGAGCAGGGCTGCCTGATGCTGGGGTTGCAGGGGAGATGCCTGCAAAGGGCACATGGGAACTTCCAGGCGTGATGGAATGGTCTCTGCCTTAATTGTGGTTCCACACCCTTCCCACACCCACGTGCCTGCCTGGCTCCCAGCCACTTTCCAGCCTGGAGGTCTGCCTACCTCTGCTTAATTTCAGTTTATGCTCAGGTTCCCTTTATTGTGATTTTCTTAGGTAATGATTTTATCCTGACAAATTAAAGGCATTTCTGAGCCACCTTGCTTCCCCTGTAATTGCTTGTTAGTTTTTTAAACTTTGATGGTTTCTAGTCAATATATTAGCCAACACCACAATCCAGTGGTAGAACACATTCATCACCCCCAAAAAGTATAGAAGGATGTCATGAGAAATAGAGGTGAGCAGGGAAGCAGACCCATCGCGGCTCCTTAGTTCCCTGGACCCTGGGATTGGACTCTGGGGCTGGACCCTTACACCTCCTCCCCTCTGGAACCCTCTCCAGGCCAGTGTATCACCGTCCCCTAGGTGATCTCCCAAGTTTCCACGGGGTGGAGCAAGGCTGCAGGCACAGCCTTCAGCTTCCTGTATGATCTGCTCAAAATAGTTTCACTTTTCTTTCCTCTGAAGCCAGGCCCTCGCTGCTGCATGTGCCAAACACAGACTTCCTGCCTCACCCACGGTTTCTCCCTGCCAGCCGTTGTCCCAGGCTTTCAGGAGCGACCCCTGGCTGGCCTCTGCACCTAGGAAGGCGAAGGAGGAGGTGGAAAACCCAGCATCCAGGTAGGTTTTCGACTTGGCTGTTTTTATCCATTTTTGGCGACTGGACTTTTAAGAATCACTTCCTGGCAGCAGTGGCAGGGTGGAACTCAACTGTTTAAACTGCGAGGCTCACTCTTTTTTAAAATTGTTTTTTCCAAAGAGAAAAAGGGCATGTGGGATTTAATAGGAGACCAACAAACAGAGGGACAGACTTAGGGGGGGCACACACACACAGCTCCTCTTTTTTCCCTGCATTCTTGCCTGACGGTGTGTATGTGACAAGATTTGCTCTCGACCCTCCTCGTCCGTGCTCTGTGACCCTGCCCCCCGCCCCGCGGCAGGCAGCCCATTCGTTATCCAGGTGCAGGTGACTAGGGGATAGTTGGGAAGCGGGTGGAAAAGGGAAAATAAGGAGAGTACCTTTAATTTCCTCTGGAGTGTATTGTAAACAGTTTATGTTTTTTCTTTAAGCACATGATAATTATTTCCCTGAAATAAATTCCTAGAAGTGGAATTTGGGACTTAAGGGAAGACGTATTTTAGGATATTTAAACGTGATTGCTAAGTTAGCCTCCAGAACATTGAGAATGTTTGCGTGTCCACCAAGAGTCTGTGACTGTTGCTACTATTTTCTATCATGGTTGATTCGATAGGCAAACTCACTATTAAGTTGTCGTCATTTGCACTGTTTCAACTACTGGTGAGTTGCCATGTTTTTTATTATATTTATTGGACTTTTGACCTGTCTGTGTCTTTTGTTTTGTTTTTTCCTACGTGGATGTTTGACTTTTGCTTGGTCATTTTTAAGACTCTTTTACCTAATAAAAGTCTGAACACTCTTACATGAGACGTGGTAGCAGGGGTTAGTCAGAAACTTGGCTTTGGTCAGATGAGCTCTCCTTTGCCACCAAAACTTCGGGCAGGTTACTTAACCTCTCTGTGCTTCGTCCCTGGGAATCAGAACAGACAAGGAATGAGGAACATGTACCTATCAGGGAGATCACTTTGTAAGTTATATAAATGTCTAACCACTATGCTGTAACCAGAAACTAATGTAATGTTGAATACCGACCGTAACAGAAAAATAACAAAAAAAAAAATTTTTGTAAAAAATGAGGACTCAGTCGGGTGTTCTGTTCTGAATGCTGTTGTTTAATTAGTCATCTAAATGTAACCCCAGGACCCCTTCCTCTTCTTAGTGTGTGTTCATTCTGACTTTACCTGGCTCTTTGCTCTTTGCAATATCCTTCCCTCATACATGTCATGGGTGCTAGGTTTCTCTCCCACCTATTCTCCATCTTTCAGGATTTCTTCACAATTATAGACCCCCTATGGCATCTTTTCTTGTTTTCCAGTAATGTACTGAATTTTTTCTTTTTTATAATATGTTTTCGTCTCTCAAACTTCAAGGATTTGAGACTGAGAAAAGAGAGAGACAGTGGTACTCAATCTGCCACTGGGATTAAATCCCTGGAAATAGTCATTAATTATGTTCCATATTCTCTTTTACACAAAATAAAGTTGGAAAAATGGGATCTGTGTTTGATTTTTAAAATACCCCTAGATGAATGAATATTTTGGTAATGCCTCCCTTTTCTTGACAGTTTGTCAAGAGTATCATCTGTAAATGTTCTGCCTATAAAACTTAATTTTCCTCATCATGTAGTGAATTTATAAAGAGGCATGGGCATGGGAAAAGGCTGTTCTGAGAGAGGAAACTGGTACATAAATCGGTTAAGTCATCTCTACTAATCACGTCTATATTCTTTGTGTTTTTATTTATGTTTTGCCTATTTGTGTTGAACATTGTAGACTGTTTATTTACTGATTGATTTTTACTGGGGGGAGATACCGATGTGTTGCTTCACTTATTTATGCGTTCACTGGTTGCTTCCTGGATGTGTCCTGGCCAAGTGCCAAACCGGCAACCTTGGTGCATTGAGACAGCGCTCTATCTAACTGAGCGGCCCAGCCACGGCCTGTAGGTGGTTATTAAAGTTTCTAAGCACTGTCAAGTCTCCATCTTTCTGCTGCTGTGGGGCAGTCCCTTTTACATTAGCATTGCTTGTGGGTGCCTTAAGCGGCAGCCCAGGAAACCTTAACTCAGCTCAATGTTGCCACAGACCACAGTACTTACAACTGTGAGCCAGGAGCCAGAAAGTCAGGATTTATTCACCTGTTCCACATGCAGGTTGCACAACTTAGGGCAAGTTATTAAATCTCTCTCTGATTCAGTGTCCTCAGTGATAAAAAGGGGGGAAAGCATAGTGGCCCTCTTACAAGGGTTTTGTGAAGATAAAGTAAGTCACTGCATGTGAAAAAAAACCCTTAGAACAAAGTCAATAAATATAAGCTATTTTTAATACCTGCCTGATGTTTAACCAGCAGCCCCTTTGGGTTTTGGGGCCATGTAGTCAGTTACTTTTAGCCTCCATTGTTGCTGCATGTTGCCATTGCTTCCTATACCCATGAGTCTTTGAAGCAGATGTTGCTTTGCAGGTGGTGCAGGGAGGCCTTTGGGACCAGAATGCCCACCGAATACATGATGTCTTCACTTCTCTTTTTCTCTCGGGCCCCTTCCATAGGATGTTCACCATGACCCGAGAATTAAAAAATGCTCTTCGTGAGCACTTCATACATCAGAAACTGGAGATCTCCTACGCCATATTCAAGCCATTTCCCTTCTTCGAAGGCCTTCGAGACAAATCCTTCATCACCGACAAAATGTACATGGTGAGTCGTGTTGACTGCCTTCCCATGGCTGCCCAGGCCTCCCCAAGAATGCCTGATTATTGGGGTCTCAAGCCACAAACCCTCTGGGCTTCTAGAGTTTAGAAGGTCTCAAACCAGGTGACTTGAAAGGAAAAAGAATGCATTCTCTCACAGCTCTGGAAGCTAGAACTCACAAATTAAGGTGTTAATAGGGTTGATTTCTTCTAGAGATTCTGAGAGGATCTGTTCCCTGACATTCTTCTGGTGGCACCAGCCATCTTTGATATTCTTGACTTCGAGAAACATCTGCCTAATCCCTGCTTCCGTCTACATCACCTTGTTTGTTTGTGTATCTTCTCCCTTTCTTTCTCCTCTAAGGAAACTCGTCATTGTGATTTAGGGCCCACCTTAATCCAAAATGAACTAATTGTGAGATCCTTCACTCATATCAGCAACAACCTTTCTTCCAAAGATCACATTCACAGGTTTCAAGTGGACATATCTTTGGAGGGAGGGGACACCATTTTACACACTAATGGCTCCATTCTAATTCCTAAGAACATGCCATCCATAGTCCATTCTGATGTGAAGGAAGGCAGGCAATAGGAGATATGACTATGTGTACAAAAATGACACTCTTTTCACATAATGTTGGGGTTTTAAAAGCATTTCCTGAGCCTAGGGAAGGGTTGGCAGAGCCATCTCCTTACCAGGAGGACCTGGTTGGCTCCACGGCCTCTCTAGATCACAGCCTGGATGTCACCCCTCAGAGAGGCCTCCTTGACCCACTCACCTAATTAAGAGCCCCCTCATTATCCTCTCTCATAGGATCTACGATTTTCATTCATAAAACTCTCGTCAACAGCTGCGTGCTTATTTAACTTGCATTTGTTATTTAAGGCCCATCTCCCTTGCCTGGCAGCGCCTCCTCCTCAATGAAGGGAGCACCACGTTGACCTTCTCCATTGCTTTGTCCCCAAGGACTCGCCTAGGAGGTGCTCCATAAGCACTTTGCAATCAATTCTTTCCCGCCGTGCCTCTCATTTTAGCCCCCCTCTCATCAAGAAGAGCCCCCCCAGGTGATTTCCTTATGGCTGGAGCCCATTCAACAGAACTGCCACTAGTGACCAGCCATTACATCGCACTTCAGGTCAGCTGCCGAAATTGACACCCCAGGTCAATTGCTGCAGTGCCCTCCCGCAAGCCTTAGAGAATTCATTACGCCGGCACAGCTTTGACCCCACTTTCCTCTCTTAAAATTTCCTTCTTCCCTCAAATGTACCTAAAATAAGGTTCACAAAACAAACATATTTTAAAGAAGGCTAAATTATTTATTCCTATGACTAGCTATCAAAATATATGTGAAGTTCCCAAAGTACATGTGGAACTGTTTTTTCTATTAGAGAAGTGGACTGCACATTTTGCATTAAATTCCTTCTTAAAAGAGCAAAATAGCTTTCTTACAACTTAGAAAACCACAAATGCGTAATAAGCCTCCATTTAACTTTATAATCTTGTATAATAATCCTTCATTACATTTCTTTAGGAATCTCTGGAAGCCTGTAGAAATATGGTCCCCATATCCAAAGTGGTGCACAACATTCTCACCAAACTGGAGGACTCGTTTCAGCCGTCACTTCTGGAGATGCTGTTCAGCCAGATCAACCTGCGTGAATACCCCAACCTGAAAACAGTTCTCAACAGCTTCAGGAGTGGTAGGAGGCTTCCTGGGCCCTTCGGGGCTATAGAAACATGGCGGGGGGCGGGGGGCGGGTGTTGGTGCTGGGCTGAAAGCTCGGCTTGTTTTCCAGCCCCTGGGTGATGCACTTGAATCGCCCGCTCCCTGATCGGGAACATATGGACTATACTCTGTCACGGGCATGGCAGCAAGACTAGCTTGTGGCCCTGGCTCTCTAAGATGGTTTTCTAGAGGACATAAGTGTTTCTATCTTACCTATTCTATGAATTTGGGGAAATTTGTACAGTTTAGCCGACTGGGCAGTCTCTAGGGAATGCATAATGTGACAGAAATGCAGTCACAGAGGGCCTTTCTGACAGAAGGACAAGGAGAGCCAGAGAGGAAGAGTAATGGGTATGGGAAGGATGATAATAAGTATATTTTTTGTTCGGTTGTTTGTTTTGCTGTTTTTGCTTTTTTGTGCTTGGTATGTGCCAAGCATTGCCGCAGGCACTTTATATGATTACCTAATAAAGTGTTTAAAACAATACCCTGTAGTCATAATGATCCCCATGAGACACAGGAAATTAAAGCTCAAAGTAACGTTCCTAAGTTATTTGTCTGTTAAGAGCAGCACCAGAAGTCCTGCTTGGATCTCCCAATACCAGGGTTTGAGATTCTAATCGCTGCTCTCAGGAGGGTAGCTGGAAGGCAGAGCGTGATGTGGAAAGAAGGGGCATAGCAGACAGAGGCAGACAGCGAAGGTAGGAGAAGGAAGTGGAACATGAAGCACACTTAGAGGGAGAAAGAAATGAATAAATACAGGAGCATAAAAAAGAGCAACGACAGAGCTGGAGGGAGAAAGACGTAAGAAAAGCAGACAGAAAAACCATCTTAGGTTTGTGGGAAGACGTGTGGTTCACGTCTCTGAGGCTGGTAGGGGAAGGGCCAGCAGATACCACTGTTGACAGCTCTTCAACTGCTCTCTGACACTTGGCCATCAAGAGGCTCCTCCCCAAAGGGAGAAGAGGTTCCTTGAGCTAAAGGGGCAGCGAAAGACAAAAGTCACCCTCCAGGCGGGCACCTGCACATGGGCTCGTGCTCCCAGCAGCATGGGGTCGGTGCGCAGGGAAATGTGCCTCCGAGGCCACACGGGACAAGCCTGGCAGCCGGACGCACCACACACTGGGGCGTCGCCCCCCACCCCAGCCTGGCTGAGCTCAAACATCCTTCTCGATTTACAACTCCGTGACTTTTTTTTTCAGGTACCCTCTCCAAAATCCCACCTTACTCTCCTTTTTCTATTCACTGGCTGGGACAACTTTACTTCTGAAATAAATAATGGAGAAGAACCAAAAGAGAAACCCACCATTGGCTGTGCAGGGGAACAGCACAGGGAAAGCTAGGGGCCTGGGGTATTAGGGACAGGAAGGAAGTGTGGTGTGGCCAGGCCATAGGGTGCAAGGTGAGGAGAGACAAGGGCTGAGTCTGCAGAAACCAGAGGCACTATGAAAAGAAATGCATATTTTTGTCTTATTTGCTACAGGGAGGTGTGATGTGTTTATTTGTTAAAACAGGGACCTCTATTTCAACTAAAACATTATTCATAAGTATCTATATTCTGAAACCAAAACTAAGAAAAAGGTAAAAAAAATTAAATCCCTGGGCACAAAGTGAAACTCAACATTATGTGTGGAACTACTGTGGCATTAGATCAGAGGCTAGATATAGTTTTATAGCGCTGGATGTCCAAATCAAATTCATAAATTAGACAGAGGCCACTACGTGACAATGGTAATGAAGAATCAATTCTATGCGCCTGGGGAAGAATGAATAACCCCATGCCCCCGACCTGTGGCAAGTTATGTGTAAAAAAAAAAAAAAAAAAATCCCTTCCCCCATGCTCTGGCCAGGTGGTTTAGTTGGTGGGAGTATCGTGCTGTACATCAAAAGGTTGCAAGTTCAATTCCCAGTCAGGGCACATACATAGGTTGCGGTTCAATCTCTGGTCCGGGTGCATGCGGGAGGTAGCCAATCAATGTTTCTCTCTCTCTCCCTTCCTCTCTCTGTAAAATCAATAAACATATCCTTGGGTGAGGAAGGGAAAGAGGGAGGGAGAGAGGAAGGGAAGGAGGGAAAGAGGAAGGCAGGGAGTCAGGGAGGGAAAAATCACTTCCCCAAATATTTCTGGGTTTCTATGGCACTGATATGTGCTCTTTCATCAATCCCAGTTTTCATTCCCTGCGGAAGGTTGTCCACACCGAACCCCTTCGAAGCTCCAGCCAACCCAGCAGGAAGAAACCTCTACCGGACCCTGCCGCCACCGCCCGCACCGCTGAAGCATCCAATCCCTGTACCCAAAGTCAGTGAGCTCAGAAAAATCCCTCAGCAGAGTGCTCAGGTCCTGGGCGAGCCGTCCAGCTCTGTTGGCTCTGCCAAAGATAGTCCCAGAGTCATCCAGAAAGGAAGGATCACTCCAGGTGAGAAACAGACCCTGTCCCACACCTGTGCCCTGCCAGCCTGGGCCACATCTAGAACCCCAGGGTCCCATCTTTGTGTTGACCTGCCCCTTCCATGAACCCACGTCCCATACACAGTCCTTTCCAAGAAGGGTTACAGACACTGCGAGGGGCCTAGCGGGGGATAGTGCCTAAAGCACCTGCTTCCGCCCCCAGAACAGCCCAATCCTCTGCCCTTAGACCTTGATGCTCTGTCTGCCCTGGGCATTTTTACCCTTCACTTGCCTTCCCCACATGCTGGGCCTGTAACCTGTAATGATTTTCCTTCCTCTCTCTAATGGCCAACATAATCCCCCACCTAAATGGTGAAGATACTCACAGTGGATGCCCAGCACACCCCCCACCACTGTGCGCGGCGATGTCCTTGGGGCTGACTTAGTTTAGCTCAGCGTGGCTGTGCAGGGAGAGCACATACCTGCTGGCTTGTAGCAGGAGCCCTGAGAGAAAAAGCAGAGTATGACAAAGAAAATGACCGCGGGGAACCAAGGCACCAACTTGGCACAGGACCACTTGTCAGGGGTGCTGCCAGGTGGCTGCCAGGTGGCACCACGCCAGTCTGATGCTATGATGTTCAACAGTCTTGTCCAACCAACATTCAAACACACTCTTCTGATTCACAGGTAACTTAGGCAACACACACATCCGCCACCCTCACCAGACTGCTCGCCCTCTGATTGATTATAGGCTTCAAGCGTATTCACTTACTTTCACATGGCTTGAATTCTAAGAGTAGTGGTACTGAAATTATTAGAAAAGACGGTAACAGGTCTACTGGGCCTGATGTAGTTTCGAAGACTGTGTCGTTTACTGAGCATGATATATTTTGGGGAGCTGCCAGAGATGGCATCATGAATTCTGAGAATCAGGGGTCCTCTGGTCCAAATAACATTTCCTCCACACCTCTAATACATACCATCCAAATAAGGTTAACGTAATTGCAAAGCAAATAACAATGTAAGATTCTACCTCCTAGACTTTCCAAAGAGCAAAATATGTACCATCATTAAATTAACAAGTAGCCAACTGGAAGGAAGGATGGTTCACATGCCCACTCTCTCACCTTCACCAGGCTGTGGCGTTCAGTCGGGCACCATCATTTTTACCAGCTAGAATAGATTGTTCTCATCCTCCTTCTCTGGTCCCTGCTTGCTGGTCCTGGCACCTGAAATTCCTTTTCTTCTTCTGCTCAGTGTCCAGTGACAACCCAACCCCACAAATAAGAAAGAAAGAAGATGCACAGGAGATGCCTCATGTTCCCCCAGCCCACGTGCCAGGTAATTTTGATTTAAAAGATTTAAGTGCACCTTAGTTTCTGTGTCTGCAAAGAGGAGAAGCCATATGAATCTTCTAGAGACAGGGCTTTCCTCACTGCTCCTGACCACCAGCAGGTGCAGCTCCTGGGCGCTCACCCAGCCCTCAGGGCTTGGATGGGCAGGAGACCTGAGCTCCTGAGGGAGCCAAAGGCCCTGGGGAGGGCAAGGTGGACGGGGAGCGGGCACCAGTGACAAAGGATAGGAACCCCATTAATACTTCCTGGGCCTGGATTCGAACACCACTAAGAAGTCTGCAAACACCGAAAGAGGTTGTGGTGGGAATACACGGGAAAAGCACAAGGGACTGAGCCAGGGCAGGACTGTTTGATGCAGCTGCTCTCTGAGGCCACTTCAATGAGGGAAAGCTCAGAACCGCTCCATCAAAATGAAAAGCAAACAAATTCGCTGCAAGGCTGTAACACTGAATTGGTGCCCTGGACAGGGATGGTCCTCCTTCCGGGTCCCCAGCCGGCTGTGAAGAACTTTCACTCTGAACCCTCAAAATTTCTGTATGTTTGGATTTTTAAAAGTTGATATTACTGAAATTTTTTGAAACGCAACAAATTGTTTAAAGGCTCTAGCGACTGCCTGCCACCTGCCCCAGCTACCTGTTCTTAAAGAGGCCAGAATTTGAGGCGGATATCATAGACTTGGGAAAACAAAAAGTTCACAGCCGTTCCTGAGATGAGCCTTTATTTGTTATGGCTTCAAGCGCATCTTGTCTCTCCTAGTGCGGCAGAAACTAAGAACTGCATACTTACTTGCTCTTAACAAGTGCTAACAAGTACCAAGCAGCTAGCTCCTGCTTTCTTTGATGGAAATATTACAAGGCACCCTGCCTCCTTCACTGTTTCTCAAGGTGAAATAATGACAGGTAGAGCAGGTGAAAAATATCCATCCACAGACATTAAGCAATAACACATACTTTTCATATGGCAGACGTTCACCTTGACTGTGACCTTCATAATTCAACGTCACCACTTAAACTGCTCTCAGCCTCGTTCCCTGAGTGACAACTCCTAAAAGGCCCTGTATTTGTCATCCACTGAGCAAGGGGAACCCATCCAAATGAGGCAAACCACCCCTGCGAGCAGTTGTTCCCTGGTTCTGTGATAGTCACACAGGTACAATAACCACAAGTTGATCAAATCAAAGCAGAGCCAGGGAACCCTGTTGACTGGCAGGTCCCTAGCCCTGGGCCACACACGTCCTCTGCCCTCTTGTTCTCACATTGAGTTCCCTCAGCATTTTCTCTTGAGCCCCTCTGACCTCTGAAATGAATTGTTTCCTTTGACAGTGATAAGAAGTGATTCTCCTGAACCAAGTCACCCAAGAGAGGCCCAGAAGGCCTTCAGCACACCTCCCATCAAGAAAGGTAAGGACTGCCCTTCCCCCTGGAGGTGTCAGGAGGGGGCATGTGGCCCTGCGTCCTGTTTTTCTGATCATATCTTATCGTGCTCACTCACTCTGGGGTTGTAGTCACGATGCTCAGTACACTTTGTTTTTCAATTTCCCTTCATTGCCTCTTTCTTTAAGGCCTTCATGAAATTGTAGGAAAAGCAGAAGGCATTTAGGGCCACTGGAGTTGCCTGTTCTGAAATCACCAAGCTCTCCTATAGCCACAGCTTCACGGAGGGTTAGTCGCATCTCCTTCTTTCATTAAAAGTTGTTTTCCCAAGTGCACACTGCTTTCTCTTAAGACACAGCGGCCTATTCTCTGCTATTACTCACCTCAGGGTGGAAAGCAGGCTGGGTGTTCACACCTTGCTCCCCGCTGTCCCCAGCCAGGCCTCTGCTCCCCCATCCCCTTGCCTGAGGCTTCACAATTCAAGTGAAATAGTCACTACTTCCTCAGCATCACCCCTTGACTTCCCCTCCACTGCCCAGCAGGACTCAAGGCTGACTTGGAGTTTTTCTATTTCAAGTCTTGCCACCATCCTGGACGCTCAAGGTGCATGTGAATAACAAGCCCATCCAGTACTCTGATCTCTCCCATCCTTCATCTGCTAATTTCCCATGGCTTTTTCCTCCAGCAATTCTTGGCCTGCTGCACCCAGAGACAATCCACAGGCCCTTTCATCACTCAACCTGGATCAACTTCCCAATAATTAAAGAATTGATTTTTGACAACAAATCCTTGAAGTTTGCTCTTTCTACAGCCATCGTTCAACCTCTAATCGCCCTTCCTCAGCACAGTCTTTAAAATGAATTCAAAAATACCCTTCCCTGATTTCTTCCTACAGTGTGTTCCCTCTGTCCTGTCCTTCAACCCCATTTTGATGACCAGTCCTCTGGCCTTTCCCTCTTCCAGTTCATCACCGGCCTTTCTTCACACCCCTTCATACCAGCTTAGAGTCCAAGATCCATCATTTCAGTAACTTGTCGCTGATACTTAATATGACTTGACTCTCTCTTTTCCTAGAAGTCTCTGGAAGGTCTTGCAGGAGACTATGATTGCTTTCTGCACACTGCATCTAAAAGCGGGCACTTCTGGGGAGAGGCACACAGCAGGGCAGACTGCACCCACTGGGCCGCGATTTCAGCTAACTGATCACTCCACACCGTGTGACAATGCCACTTCCTATGATGATCCTTTCAGACTTCAAGCTCTTTTTTTTTTAAACCTCTAACCACCCTGCCCAATGCCCCCTTTTTTTCTCAACAGATTGATTTTTCCTTCTTGATAGAAAGGCATCAGATGGGAATCCCCTCACTTCAGGCTACCAGGGTCCCCTCCTCCCTGCTTCTCTCCTTCTCTCCAAGGCAATCCTTCCACCTCACCTGACAGTGTCCATGATCCCGTCTCTCTCCTGAGAATTCAGCATCAGCCTCTCACAAGGATCTGCATCCAGCCAATGGCAAAACCGATAAAGGAACTTTCTCCTGGCGCCCACCTCACTTCACCTGCCACCATAGCTTGCCCCTCCATTTCACAACAAAGCTTCTAGTAAACGTACTATGCAGACTCACTGTCTCCCTTTCTTCATGCCTCTGCCTCCTTGACCACTTCGGGATTTCTCCTCCCCTATTACTCCATGAAACAGCATCACCCAAGGTTGCCAGCGATCTCCTCGTCACTATGGTTTGAAGACCAAACATAAAAGCTGAAAGTTGTTGACCTAGAAGCTTGGCAGATCTATGCATGTAGCTATAAAAGATAGTCTGTATTCTTTTTTTTTTTTTTTTTTTTTAGGAAAGAAAAGAAAAAGACAAATCTGGTCAACTGAAAAGAAGAGATACCCAAGGAAAAGGCTTCCGAGAGGTAAGATGACAGTAGACAAGGAGGTAGGAGGCAGCTCACACTTGTAGGTCAAAGGTTACGGAAGATGAATTGTATTTGAAATGCAGTTGGGAGCCATTGAAGAAATCTGATTGGTAAATGATGCTCTCCAATTTTAAACTTGTCAAGACTGATTTTGGTGCTGTCTAAAGGATGAATTGGGAATAGAAAAGGATGGAAACAAGGCAACAATTTGTCGAGCAGATGCCATGACAGCTGGTAGTAGCCTGGATTCAGATTGAGCAATGGAGTTGGAGAGAAGAGGGCCGGTTCAAAATCAGTTTGGTGGTCAAGTTGGCAGGACTTGATAAACTGGAAGCTGACGATAAAAAAGACAGTGATATCAAGGCTTGCTCTTCCATTTCTGGCTTAAACAACTAGGTGCCCATTGCTGAGAAAGGATGCAATGTGTTTGAGGGGAAATTTTATCATTCCATGTTTGACCTCTCTGTGTCAAGATTTGTGCTAGCCACGTGTGCAGCTGTGTCCAGTACTGGCTTTGTCAGAGGCTATGAAGGGGTGAGCACCAGAAGAGGACCCATCAGTAAATTGAGAGGAAAAGACTTGACTACAAGGAGGGATTAAGATAAACTCAAATAAGAGGAGCTTGGGATTTGGCTACAAGGTACCACTGGAAAACTCCAGGGCAATTTTAGTGGTAATGGAAGCAGAAGCCAGCTGCGGTGGGTTGAATAATGAATAGGAGGTGAGGGCACACGTAGACAACTATTGCTCTACAGGGGCACAGAGCAGCGGATTAAAGTTCCTTGTCCCTGACTTAGGTTACCCTTAGCATGTTTCCAGTGTCCAAAATCACAGGTTTGGTGCCCTTTTAAGATATTTCATAGAAGTACTTTAGGTCTGTGCCTTTTCCCCAAAGGTAAGTGATCTTCCTGGGCAGGGGGAAAAGGCAAGCAGCTCTCTCCCTCTCACCCTGTTGTGTGTGCTTCCTATGGGCCTTCTTGGTTTGGCGGAAACTACTCAGATGATTCAACTCACACTCCCTGAGCCTTGTCCGCCACTCTCTCAACTTCAAGTACCACCCAGTTCTACATTCCCAGCTCTGGTTTGTCTTCAAAAAACCATAAAGCCAGCTGCACACTGGTCATCCCTGTTTGCAAGTCTCGACATTCCAATCTAATTATGTCTGAAATGTGCCTAAACCCTAGTCTTCTAGGCGTTATTCAGACTTTTATCCAACAAATATTCAGTAAGCACTAATTCCATGTATATCCATTCTGAGAGCTGAAGGTAGAGTTTTTTAAAAGCAAGAAATCAAGCAAAAGAAAGAAAGAAGAAAGTTCCTGGAGCTTACCTCCTGGTTGGGGGGAGAAAAAGAATATAACCCAGAAAGCACATAACGAGATCATTTCAGACAGTGACGGCAGGGGAAAGGAAATTAAGGATATGGTTACAGTAGGGACTTGTAGCTTTGTGTGGCAGTCACTTTAGTTGGATAATCCATGCAGTGACACTCACAAATGTGAAGGAGCCAGGGCTGAGGGGAAAGGTCAGTGTTGTTGGGCAATGATGAAGAAAGGAAAAGATGGTACAAGGTAAGAAGGTAGAGAGGGGCCAGGTCATGTAGCCAGCACAGGCCTTTGGGAGGAATTTGGAGTTTATTTAACTTGAAATGAGCTACCCAGTTGCCAAGCCAAAGCCTAAGTCATCCTTGACTACCTGATGATCTACCTTAGTATATTCACCAGTTCTATTGATTCCATCTTGTCTTTCCTACACTAAAATGGGATGGTTTCACTCCCATGCTTAAAACTTGTCCATGACCTCCTATTGCTCTTAGCATAGTGCTCATAGTTCTTCATGTGATTCAAAGCTCTCAGTCAATCCCCGGCTTGTGTGGCTCAGTGGATTGAGTGCCGGCCTGTGAACCAAATGGTTGCTGGTTCGATTCCCGGTCAGGGCACATGCCTGGGTTGTGGTCCAGGCCCCCAGGAGGGACACGTTGGAGGCAACCACACATTGATATTTCTCTCCCTCTCTTTCTCCCTCCCTTCTCCTCCCTAAAAAAATAAAATAAATAAAATATTTTTTTTTAAAAAACAGGTTTAAAAAAAAGCTCTCTCCAATCCAACCCTTCCTTTACCTCCAACTTCATCTCTTTCCACTCGAAGCTCTAGTCAACCACTCTGAACTTCCATCCTTCTCGTTTCGTTTCTCTGCCCTTTGATCCTCGGCACATGCTGCTCTCTTTGAATGCTACATTCTGACCCTACATTGCTTCCCATAAATGCTTGGCTATCTCCTGTTCATCGCTGGTGTTGGCTTCAATGTCGAGTTCAAGAAGGCATCCTCTGACCCTAAATTAGCTAAGTTGGTCCCATTGTATGTTCCTATGGCCCCCAGTACTGGCCCTTTGGGAAGATCCACATACTCCATTGTAATTACTTAGGTACCATGTCTCTTCCCAGCTAGATGGTAATCTCCAGGCACAAAGGAAGCATTAGTTATTTCCCGAATGAAAAAAAATGAAAGAAGCCATAGTTGTAATATCCCATAATTTGGAGAATGATCTGACAAGGATCTTTTATGAATTTATCATTGTGCTAGGCAGCCACAGATACCACGGGCAGCATGCGAAGCTGATAGAAACAGAGTTATTGGAGGGAAATCTCACAGCAGAGAAGCAGAGCCCGCGCGATTCCCCAAAATCTTGTTATCCCGAGTGTAGAGCTGGCTCGGATGGTCTGCATGCCCTCTGGCAAGCGTCCCCACCCGGAGGCGTTCACTCCCATAGTGCTCAAGGCTACATGTTTACAGGACCAGGGGCAGAAACATCAAAGTGACTATGCAATAGCTCATGCTCCCCGGTGGGTCCGAGAAGTGGCCTTGTAAGAAAGGGGGAGCTTCCGGAGCTGGTGTTATCTTGTTCTGTTTGGGGAACTCTGACCCTCTGCAGCTTCCCTCTGTTAAGCTACCAAAAGGAGAAAGAGATGCCAGGCCCTTCCAGATTTGTCTTTCTTCTTATCATATTTAAATGAAAAGGTTTACCAGGATGTTTCTCGGAGTCACATTATTTTACATTTAATTAACCACTTTTATTACAAATACGAAAAACAGCTTAAAAGAGATACAAAATTTAGAGAAATAAACAACACAGGTAGTCATACTGAAAATAGACATACCACACTCTTGTATGCCCCCCCCAAAAAAAGTAGTATTCTATGTAATGGTTCTCATTTCTCTGAAACCCTCCTTCTGTGATGGGGAAAAATGTGAAACTCACCAGCGAAAGGGAAGTTTTAGGCTTTTTTAGGCTGCCCGTTGCTTTTGGATAAATACTCAGTACCTTCCATGATTGAGTTCCCTGTGTGTCTGGTTACCTCCTCATCAACGTTTAGCCACTCCTGTTTTGACCATTAAGTGGCGCTTGGATGTTAAAAAAAAAAAAAAAAAGTCCTGTGTCCACCTGCCAGGAGGGAGCATGGCTGTGCCACATGTGTGTCCCCCGGCTTCCATAGACACATCCTTGCCCCACTGGGTCGCGGTCATCCCATGGGGATCAGCTTCTGAAGTCCACAGCCAGTGAAAATTGTGATCTCGTCTTTCAACAAGGAAGCAGACTCGCTCTGCACAAAAACTCCCCTCCCTCCACTGCCCAACATTCCTGGACCACACATGGGCCCTGGGAAGCCTAGAGAAGTAACTCTGGAAGTCCCCTCCTCTACTGAAACAAACCGCCAGGCCATTTTTACCCAGATGTGACCACCTGCTGGTGGCGGATGTAACTCAGACACAGGAACCAGGAACTAAGCCCTGCTGCTCTGGGATTCCCCCCAGATTTCTCAGGTCGACTTTAATAAGTTATCCAAAGAGTGAGGCCAGATGGTGAATTTGGGGGGGGGAAGTAAAGTGCATACAAATACGCGCGCGCGTGCACACACACACACACACACACACACACAATTAAAGAAAAATAGCAGGAGAAAAGTGAAGTACCAGGGTACAGAGTTCTCAAAGTTTGGGGGCTAGAGGAATGAAAAGGAAGGTCGCTAAGAGAGGGAGGAAGAGGCCCACTGGGGACCCCAAATGGAAACTACTCACAAATCACTCTTTGGCCCAGGTACTGCTTCGCATGGGCACAGAGTGCAAAAGAAGCTCCAACTGGTGGATCAGACCGCTCAAAGGAAGGATGACTCAACCAGGGACTCAAAGGTGGAGACAAAGACCAACAAGGCAAGGACTGAATGTGCGCAAACATCTGAACCTGAGGGTAAGGCTGGTGACAGAATCTGCCATTTGAGGGCTCCGTGTGGGAGGGGCTCATGCAGCAGGCCCAGGGTTAGGGGGACAGGGCAAACTGGTGTTGGAAGGAGGGAGCGGAGCAGGGAAGGATGATGAGAGATGACAAGGGCAACAGAGAGGAAACAAGTACCTGTTACATCCGAGGAGCTTTTGTTAAAGAAATAGCTGTGATCAAGGGAACAGGCGACTTCAGCTGCGGCTCACACATTTTGGTCCCAAGACTAGCTTACACTCTTAAAAATTATGGAGGACCCCAAATATATACCATATCAGTAATCAAAACCAATCTTTTTAAAATATTTATGTATTAATTCCTCTAAAAGTAGCAATAAGAAACAAGTTACTTGTTAACATAAATATTTTTATGGAAAATAAATATATTTTCCAAATGAAGTTAGTGAGAACAATGGTATCGTTTTACATATTTGCAAATCCCTTTAATGTTTAGCTTATTCAAAAACAGCTGGATTCTTTTATCGCTTTCTGTGTTCAATCCATTGCAATGTGTTGCTATGTTTGAGACATAGGGAGAAAATGCAGCCACACACAGATGTGTAGTTGAAAAGGTTGGAGTATTTTAACAATCTTTAAAGATATCTGTGGATATTCATCTTTCGCACTGTGCCAAAAGTCAACAAGCGCTAATTTCTTAAAGGTTAGTTGTAATGTAGAATCTGAACCATATCAATGAAGTGTTCGTACTCTGTTGCAATAAAACACATAATGCTGTCTTGCATTTTGAATGAATCTTTTCATGCATGACTTATTAATATCGTGGACATTTGAAAAACATTAGTCACTGAATTTTACCATGCGTTACATCTCAAACAATCACACAAGCATTTTTTGTTAGACAATCCTGGAAATTCAAGGTGCAGCAAACAGCTTTACATGTTCTCTACAGTTTCTCACAAAGACTACGGAAGAAAAGGGTACTCAAGGGTAGGCATTTCATAAAATTAATTCTTACTAGCTCATCAAGAACATTTCTAATAAAAGCGGTTTGGGGTTTTTTTACGGTAAGTGGCAATGAAGAATGCAATGACTACTCCTAAGGTTTGGGGACATGGCTTTGATTTGTACTAAGTCACTAGTAGTTTTACCTGCCATGGTTCTTGCTACATCTGTATAAATATCTACACGGTGATAGAGGCAAAAAACGCCATAATATGAACACAGTTTTGACCTCCAAGATCTCCTGAAAGGGTTTCCAGGACCCCTCCCCAGGGATTCACAGCCACACTCTGAGCCTCTGGTCCTGGGGTTCAGGTGACTCCTCTCCCACTACACGTCTCCATTAGTAGAGTAGCCACGCTGCCAGCCTTGCTCTGCTGCCCGCTGAGCGGGAGGGACCCAGCGGTGCCACAGGAGGGCATCGTGGAGGCCCTAGCAAAACCTGCAGCCTTGAGCCTTCCACTCCAGGATGCGCAAGGTCCTTCCTGGATCTCGGGGAGGTTCCCCATGAAACTTTCTATGGTGCATTCACTGAGAAGGGAATGGAATGTCTTTTTTTCCAGAGATCAGTGATGACACTTCAGAAATGGATGAAGCAAAGGGTCCCCAGGACCTGCCCAGCACACCACCAAGAACCATGCAAGGTAGGGATGCGGGACTGCAAGACGCGGAGTGCATCACCGGGAGCCACGTTCAGAACTGTTTCACTCTGAGCCAGAGCTTCTCGGTCCTTTTTTCATGACCACTGCCCTCGGGAGCCCAGTTAGAAGTGGCTTTTTCCTACGTCAGCACGCTGCCCGGGGTATTTAATATCACAAAGATATTATATATTGATTTATGGACCATACATATTTAGTTGTGCCTTATATATAAGAAGAGTAAGATTTTCCCCCAGGAACCAATTTTTGGGCAATATCACCACTGCTGAGAATTCACGCCCTGAGCATGTTCTTGGTTCTTTATTGGAAGTTCCCGAGCCACAGATCAATTTTTTTCTAGGGTCCCAATCCCCATGTTTCTCACATTGACTTTCCTGGGAAAATTGGGAAGAGAACGTGCCATCATAAACACAAACATAATAGTCTAGCTGGGGACAAGGAAGTGATGTTGTTGTTCACGCAGGCTGGTCAAAGATGCACGTAATTCACTCTCATCTTTGCTGCCTTGTGCTCACTGTTGCCACTGTCCTTGGAGGGAGAAGCCCTGAACAGTCTTCTGTCTGGTGGTGATTTGGCCATTATGTCACCAATTTACAGATCTCCCACATTGACTCCCAAACAACACATGTCTAATCATCATCAGAAAGAATGTGTTAGATGTGACCACCTTTGAAATAAGGGATGATTTTGACAATTTCTCCTTCATTGCACTGACATCTATGGTAACCTTTCAAATCTTCTCATGGATAAATTCTACTTATTTTCACAACCACCCTTGGAGAGATTCGAGTAGTTTATTCAATTTTACAGAAGAGAACATTGACATGTGTAAAAGATTAACGGGTTTCAGAAGGGGTAAAGGTGAGCTGGTACAGGGCTAGAATCTTGCAACCTTTGACTCTTCATCAGAAAGGAAGGGATGGAAATGAAATGGTCAAGGCTTTGTCAACTCAATATTGTCTGCAATGAGTGTGGTCAATAAACGTAAAGCTTGCTTCTTTAAAACTTTGTCATTTCTTTCTAGATCCCCTGGATAAGGGAAGCAAACTGTCTTGGGGGATATCTGGAAAAACGCGTAAGTGTAAAGAACCTGTGTGTTCTCTGTTGGTGTGGATTCCATGCTACTCTTATTGGTTGTTTTATCCTCAGGCTACGAAAGACACCCAAGCCAGAAAGACTTGTACTTCTTTAAAACTGTGATTTAATTTTTTTTCCAACATAAGAAATGGTCTACACTTTGCAGCAACCATTAGGATTTGCTTGCTCTATGTGCCAACAAACCGTCTCCACCCTCGCCGAAAGAGAAAAAGAATAGGCAAAAACAAGAGAACTTATTCTCTCTCCTGTGTGGATATAGGTGGTCGGGGGCTGGCTTCATACACCATCAAATCCCAGGCTCACTCCTGCCTGTTGCTTCACCACCCTCAGCTTGTGGCACTTCCTTCCTGGAGGCCCAGCCAGTGAGGAGGCTGGGTCAGGACAGGCACACTTCCTCCGCTGAAGGACTTTCTCTGCAGTTTGCGTTTAGTTATTCTGTGACTGGTTCATTGCCAGGACCTGGCTGCCAAAGAGGCTGAGAAATGTTGTCTTATTCTAGAAGGACAAGTATCCAGCTCAACAACATCAAGGGCTGGACTGGTAAGAAAAGAAGGATACCAGAGTAACAAGAACAACCAACAGTACCCGCTCTGCACACTACACTGCGTGGTGGGCTCGCCACTATTTCTAAGTCTCTCTCCTGGTCCCAGAAAGCCGCATTTCCCAGCCTCTCGCAGGAGGCAAGGCCGTGATACTGGTTCTGACCAACGAGTTTGTGGGATGGGTTTTACTTCTGAGTCATAACACATTAAGATCCACTACACAGCTCTCCACACTCTATTCCCCTGACTGAGGAAGTGTGCAGAAGCGGGAGGTGCCAAAGGCCCAGGCAGCGAGGGCCTCAGCAGCACCACACGGAGGACACAGCTGCGCTGGAGATGCCATGATTTGCAGAGCACTCTGTGTGACAGAGAACCACACTGTTCCGTTAAGCCACTAAGACTCGGTTTTGTTTGTACTGCAGCGTAGCCTATCCTGTCCTGTGTGAGGAAATGTTCCTACTAAACTCTGCGAACAGTACAGAGAGTTATTAATCAGGAAGTTAAGTCAATTTAATCTGCTTCCCCCACCTTATTTATATACTCTACAAATGTGCATACATTTATCTTATGTTATATAATACACTCCTATATACTCATACATTATAGTCTATTGTATAAACGCTTTTTTCATTGCAAATTTCACATACGTATCTTCATGTCATTGTTACCTCTTTTCCTTCCTTTTAGCTGCATTACACATTATTGTATGATTAACAATTGAAGTAATCACTTATGGATGGACAATTAGGCTCCTTCCAATTTTTATGTGAAAATAGAAATCATATTCCCATGTGTTTGTTGCTTTGCACACTTGCCTAATAATTTCCTTTGAATTAATTTCTAAATATGAAGTTTCTTGGCTTGAGTCTTCATATCTTAAATTTCATGTGTGTCACCCAATTGCTCTGCAGAAAATGTAATTGTTTACGTTCTCTTTAACACTGAGCACTCATTAACTAGATCTTCATCAACATGGGGAGGAGCAAACTTCTTAAAAGGTGAGGGTATCCTGAAAACCAAGCAATGCATTTTTTATCAGCAGTAGTCTAAAGATGATTTTTAAATAAATTATTATTTGTATTTCTGCTTTAAGAATTTTTAATTTATGTTCTTGGCTTATTTTTCTTGTGTAGTATTCATCTTTTGTGTTATTTATTAGGGATATTAACCCTCTATATTTTACCATATTCCAATTTTTTCTATTTTTTGTTTTAATGTTGTGGGGCTCTTTTTTGAAGCGTGGACATTTTTAATTTTTTAAATGGTCAAATCTATCTTTTACTTTTCTGTCCTTGAGTTTTGGCTAAGAAATCCTCTATATCTACAGCTTATAATAATATCTCTATATATTTTCTTCAAGTGTTAAAAAACCTGTTATAAATTTGAAAATAAATGACTTAATTTAAATGTTAATAATTTCATATATATTTGTTACTTCCTGATTCAACCTTTTTTATTTCTAAGTAAAATGGAGTACTTTTTTTTACATAAACCTCATGGTTTTCTGCTACCCCAAAGTGGTGGGAAGACAGAAATAAATTGATTTTTAAAGTATTGACATCTCAGGTTTATAAATCAATATACATAACCATAAGAAATTATTTTTTTCTGTTTCAGAAAAAAAGAAAAAAGTTTGTAGCCGGCCAAGTTCAAAAACAAGACAGAAGAAAAAGCCCCCAAAAAGTAAGTAAGAAGAATAAAGTCATCTCTCCCTTGCTCTTCATCAGGGTCCTCATTTAGATGACAAGCAAGGCCTCCTTTCCAGCTAAATGGCCACCTGGCTATCACTGGTGCATGGCCAGTCCCATCTCTGTCCCCTAGGCCACCCTGTCAAATGACTCCTCCTCACAAAGGGAGAACCCCGTAGGTTAGTTACAAAAGCTTCTTTTCTTACCATTGGGAAGGAATGGGGTAGAAGTGGACAAGAGGCATCAGACACTTTTGAGATTAGGACTGTGTCTGGTGCAAGGTCAGAGCCAGGAAGAAGAGACAAAGCAAACCTGCATATGCAGGCAGGGCTCAGACTCCCGATGTCGAACTGGAGTTAGATTTGTAGTCACTGGGCCTTGAGAACCGCCTGAAACGATTCATACATACACTTCTGTCCCCAGACTCACACTTACCATGCATCTACCATGAAACGTGCCGTTTTTGTATAGGCAATAAAAATTCATGAAACTGTACTTTTCTGGCTCCTCTGTTCTCTCTATTGTCTTCATCACCCTGTTCTTCCCCTCTGTGTTCTTCCCCTCCTCCCTCTCCCCTCTTCTTTCCTCTTTCCTCTTTCAAGATATGCTAGTGGGTGAGGAGTCTCTCAGGTTCCCTACTATATGGGGGCCTGGAATGCTCTGTGAGGGGATCGCATCTCAGCCCCCAAAAACATAGCAACTCATGAGCTTCACTGTTTTGCACAGAACCCATTTTTCCTGCTTAGTTCCAGCAGCCCTCAGTCCCGAGGGGGAGCGGACTCGGTCCTCTTTGCCTGCCCTTCTCCAGCCCTTGTCTCTTCTGACTCCCAACCCCAGGGCCCCTCGGCTGGAGGAAACGTACTGTCTGTCAAATGCTGACTTCTCTGTTACCAGTGAATTCTAGGAAAACTTCACATGCAGACCTCCAAACTTTTCTTCCTGGCACATGAAGATGATTTTTGGAGTGTAGAAACCCCCTTTGCTCTCAACAAATTCTGTGTTTCAGGGTATACACTTATCTCTGAAAAGGTCTCAATGAAGCCATGACTTCTCGGTTCTAACCAGCATCAGTCCTCCCCCGAGAGTTATTGATTTAGTAATCAGGGGCCCCTGAAGCATTGTGATGTATAAGGATGAAAAATATATAATTCTAATATTTTCAAAAATATCCTGCCCTTGTCTGTTCTTTCAATGAAGGTGAATTGAGTTGAGGCATGTGCCAGGCACCTGTCTTACTCAGGTCCTGGGAACTCAGCAGGGAGCAAAACAGGCATGAAGCTTACATTCTCACTGTTACACGTGTAATTAATAGACAAAAAGAGAAGATGAAGGGGGACAGAGAACAGGAAGTTGTCTTGTGGGAAAAAAGAGGAGTGTTTGTCAAGAAACAGTAAGATAAAAGTGAGGTACAGAGATACAGGATTTCATGACAGTGTGGGGACAGGGAGCATGAGAAGGAAGGTCACTAAGAGAGGGAGGAGGAGGCCCACTGGGGACCCTAATGAAAACTACTCACAAATCACTCTTTGACCCAGGTACTGCGCCACCTGGGCACAGAATCCAAGGGAAGCTCCAAGCGGTAGATCAGGAGACTCAAAGGAAGGACGACTCAATCAGGACCTCATATGTGTTGACAAGGGCCCAAAAGGCAAGGATTGAACGTGCCCAAACGTCTGAACCTGAGGGTAAGGCTGGTGGCAGCATCTGCCATTTGAAGTCTCCATGTGGGAGGGCTTGTGCAGCAGGCAGTGGGCTAGGGGGACAGGAGAAGTTAGAAGGCGGGAGCAGCGTAGACCGGAGGAACATGAAGACGGAGCAAGGACCTGTTGTTCTGAGAATGGTGTTGTGTCACGAACATCTGTTCGAGATACAGTCTTTCCTATAATTCAGCTGGGCAACTGCTCGGCTGGCTGCCTGCTGAGCAGCCTGGCACCAAGGAATAGACAAGAGTCACGCACAGTAACTATGCTATTCACTCAGCTTTTATTGAATGCAGGGTCACTCAAAGTAGAACATCAACATACACTAATGTCTTACCCACCCTCTAACAATCTAAGAGGGAATATAACACACACACACACTGCAATCAATGGGGGATAATGAACTCAAGTCCCAGAGTCTCAGTCTGCAGGTCAGAGAGACAGCACAGTGGGCAAGGGAGTTGTCAGCCTCTTTCAAGGAAGGACCTCCGGAGCCAGGTGGGCAGCAGGGCAGGCGAAGTCCTCAGTCCAGCAGGGCAGAGCCTCTGGCAACGGATGCCAAGGGAGAACAGCGAGGAGTAGAGCAGCGCTCCGGGGCGTGGAGCAGCGTTCTGGGGCGTGGAACTCAGCTGTCTCCACAGTGATCTGGAGCCTGCCTCAGTTATACCTTGAGAGTGGTGGGCTCCACGCTTCTGGGTCTTTTTGATAGATGTTTTGGCGCCCCTGATACCAAGTGTGGGATTTGCCCAGGAGCCTATCTGTGGGCTGTCCTGCTCTGCAGACAAGGCTCCTCTGACCATGCGTGCAGATATCTAAGTGTGTCTCCTTGCCAGATGTGTCTGCTCTGACCATGTGGGCAGCCATATCTCCTTGTCAGATGTACTTACTCTGACTTAGGTAATTTTCTTCTTGAACCCAGCCATGCCATGAACAGTGTCATGGCTGACTGACAACCGTTTTAGTTAGCATGAGTGACTCCCCTTTGCTTTATATTCTTTATGCTATCTTAATCAAACCAATGCCATTTTATTGGTTCTGCTCTCCACATGTTGGAAGAAGTAACTGTGTCCCCAGGGTGCAGTTGAACTCCGCTGTGCCCTATGGACCCACATGACCATTTTCCAGGTCCTGCTTGTTTACTTTTCTGCTCCTGAGTCTGGGGTCTCCTCTCGGGTTCCAGCTGACCCGGTGGGGACTGTCACCAACCCCCACTCTCAGCAGTATTCCTTAATGGTTAATTTCCAGAAGTGAAGTCAATTGGTTGATGAATCTGCCTATTTAAAATTGGCACATAGCAATGATCAAATTGTTGCCACTGTAGGCTCCCGTTAATATCATGCGGACCCCCTTTTCTCTAAACCTTCACCAACACTAGAAAAATGAGCCTTTTCTGTGTTTGACAAATGAAAAGCAAAGAATGACATTCCACCAATGTTTCCCTTTGAACATCTTGCACCATGCATGTGATTAAACATGCCGTGACAGGTTGGGTTATTGCTCTCCAAGATTTCAAAAGGTTAATGCCCTTGCCCTGTGGACTCAGGAATGGCCATGTGACTTGGAGTGAGCAAAGAAGTGTGGGCAGCAGTGAGAAGGTCACTTTCAAACCAAAGATTTAAGAGCCCTTGTTCTCATTCTCTCTGCCGCGGAACCAGCAATGCTCTAGACAGAGGCTGCTCTGTTCCAGGATCCCTGACTGTCATTGACATGGGACCTCATCTAACTTGTGATCAACAAACATCATGAGCAAGAAGTAAACCTGTGTTGTTCTAAATCAGCATTTGGCAAACTTTTTCTAAAAAGGGACAGATTAATAAATAGTGTAGGCCCTGCTGGACTTAGAGTCTCTATTGTAGCTTTTCAACACTACCATTGTGGCACAGAAGCCACCAGAAACAAATGCCCAAACAAATGAACCTGCTAGTGTTTCAATAGAGCGTTATTTACAAAACAGGCATTGGGCCAATTTGGCCCGCAGACAGCAGTTTGCTGACCCCTACAAATAAACCACTGAGGTTTGGAAAGATCACAAATTACCAGAACCTGTTTTTCAATAAATTTTTATTAGAATGTTTTCCTTTGGGGGATCACCTGCTCATCTATGCCCATTTTTGTATAAGACTATTCATTTTTCTGGTGGAATCAAAATTAACCCTTTGTTATCTTATTGCAATTTTTATTTGTTTTTGTCAAGGAACTTAAGAAATTTCTGGTTGTGGAAACTTTTTTTTAAATTTGAGTTAGACAAATCATTTTACTTTTTTCCAGTATGGTTTATGCTAGAGTTTTACAATGTTGGCACTGTCGGTATATTGGGCTGGATAATTCCTTGTTGTGGGGGCTGCACTGTGCACCACAGGATGCTTAGCAACATCCCTCTACCAATCAGAGGCCAGCAGCACCTGCCTCCCAGTCATGATGGGAAAAAAAATCCCAACATTGCCAAAAAGCCCGTGGATAGCAAAGTCACCCAGCACTGAGAACCACTGGCTCTATGCCCTGTACTTCTGAAAAGTCCCTCCTGTATAATATTTATAAGGCTAATCATTTATTAACTTCTAGTATTTGTATTAAATATATTAACACATTATTACACATATTACTATGCATAACAATTTGAAATTTTGACTTCTGTAATGATTTAGCCTCTTTATCTATTACCATGAATTTGCTATTTTTACTTAGTCAATGCTATGATTTTCCTTTCTTAAGAATTCATATCGAGCTCTGGCTGGTGTGACTCAGTGGATTGAACGCCGGCCTGTGAACCAAAGGGTTGCCGGTTCGATGCCTGGTCAGTCATATGCCTGGGTTGCAGGCCAGGTACCCAACAGAGGAGCACACAAGAGGCAACCACACATTGATGTTTCTCTCTCTTTCTCCCTCCCTTCCCTTCTGAAAATAAAAAAAATTTTTAAGAAATTATTTTCAAAAGAATTTCATATCTATCTTACTCCAAACTGGAAGAAAAATGCAGGAAAAATTATTTCAAAGTAGCTCACATATAAAACATGTAAATGTATGTTTCCAATTATAATTGACTTTTTAAAATTTTTTAGAAAAGAAAAAGAAGACAGATGTCTGTTCAAGTTCAACAAAGAGTCATCAGAAAAATATTCCCCAAAAGGGTAAGTAAGGGAGAAGCAGATTTGCCCTTAGACGCCCCAGGGCCCTGCTGGCTGCTGAAACCTCCATTCTCCCTCCTGCCTCTACCTTCCCTCCCATTGCCCTGGTCCCCTCCCAGGTCTCTTCTCCACTCGAACAAGGTACCACACGTGACACACTCCCAGGGAATGCCAGCTACCCACCCAATCTACCCACGTCTGCCCATGGAAGCATTCTTCAACACAGAACATATAAAGACCCCAAGATGATTAAGGGAGAATGACCAAACCCATATGTCAAGTTCTAATATAAACGCCTACTTTCTTCATTCTAATCCAAGCAAAGTGGGTTCCCACTCCCTGTGTTAGTCAGGGTTGAAGGCCTGGTCTCTGTGGGTCAGGCCCTGGGCTTGCTTCTGCCCCCTCAACTCCTGTGCCTCTTGTGGCCACTGTCCCCCTCTCCTCCTCCTCCCCCCTCTGCATTCATGTTTCTTCTGCTTTCATAACCTACTTCCTCAGCGTTCTCTCTTGTCACTGCTCTTCCCTTTTTGGCATGAACCACGTTGGCCTTTTTCCTTCATTGATTTATTATTAAAGTATAGAATGTGATAATCAAGGTGGGGTCTCCAAACTGGCGCCACCTGCAAGCCTGTTTGTTACAGGTCTGGAAAACTTCGGAGCTTGTACATCAGCCGGTCGCCACAAGCCTGATTTCTCAACACAGAGATCACTTTAACACTGACTGCTTCACCCTCCTTCCTGCTCAGGGCTCACTCAGTGTGACTTCCCTACACACACACACACACACACACACACACACACACACAGAGGCGCGCGCGCAAACATGCACACACACTCCCACATCCTCATCCCTCCCTTTGCTACCCATCCTCAGACCTCACCTTGAACAGAGCATTCTCTACCCCACAGGCCTCCAGCTATGGCTTCACGGAGCTCTGTGTGTTTTCTCTGTGGCACTTATTGCAATGCTAATTAACTGTCTCTGTACATCCTGCTCACTGTGTGAAAGTCAAATGAAGTCAGGAAATGGGTCAGTCTTGCTCTTTCTCTTCTGTGCCTCACACACTTTATACCAAAATAACTGTCAGGTTGTCAATACTGTATTCTCTCTTCTTCATCGAGATGAATACCAACATGGAGGCCTCCATTGACCTGTATGATGCACCTGTGTGAATTAGGAAAAGGTGCTCTGTTCTCACTTTCCCCACATCCTGCCAGAGCTGATTCTTGAAACCACGGCCTCTTCTGCCCTCTGCTGGCAGATTGTTGTTGGAAGTACATAGATGGATTTTATCTCATAAGCAAACGAGAGACCCCTCCAAGGTGGAATCCTTGCTTAGTGCACAGCCCACACGACCATATACAGAGGCCCTGATAGCCATATAAGTATGTACATCACTTTACAATTTTCTACACTTTACTATTTAACCCCCAAATAAATATGATTCAGCACATTTTACAGACAGAACAGAAAAGACTTGCATGAGCTAAAGTTAGGTGTTCACATGTCAAGTTCTTTGCTCTTTACGCTGAAAAAAAAAAAAAAAAATTACCCCCGGTCTTCTTTAAAAGACACTAGTGTGGGCAAGAACCCAGGCAAACGCTGACGGTGATCCACCAGCGTCCGCTTCTCCTGCCTCCTTAGCGTGTCCGCCCTCGCTTGACGTCCGATTTAGCGCAGTGTCTCCCTGCTGTCGGCGGTTACACGGCAGGGAGCAGCATCAAGGCCCTTCCAAGGGCGCGGGAAGAGCACCTGACTGGGGGACGGCACTCCTGGATTCCAACACCAGCTGCCCCTCGTGACACTGGGGGACCCCCAGGAATTCCCTCCAGATCTAAGCCTGCATCCCCATCTATAAAATGGGGATCATCATTGCCTCCCCGTTTTACAGACTGTTGTGACGGTAAACAGCACAGTGTGTGCGCAGATCATGAAGCTCCCAGATCGTATCCCAGGTTGCGTCTTTCCATGCAATTCTCACCTAGTGCCTTTTTCCTATGTTCTGTAAGAATTCTGGGCATTACGGACAAGGGTTTGATCTCCAAAATATATAAAGAACTCACATGACTCCACTTAAACAACCCAATTAAAAAATGGACAAAAGACCTGAACGGACATGTTCTCCAAGGAGGACATGCACAGGGCCCACAGGCATGTGAATGATGCTCAGCATCACTAGCCATCAGAGAGATGCAAACTAAAACCACAGTGAGATGCCACTTCACACCAGTCAGAATGGCCGTCATGAACAAATCAAAAAACAAGTGCTGGCGAGGCTGTGGAGAAAAGGGAACCCTGGTACATGGTTGGCGGGAATGCAGACTGGTGCAGCCACTGTGGAAAACAGTATGGCATTTCCTTAAAAAAACTAAAAATGAAACTGCCTTTTGATCCAGCAACTTCGCTGCTGGGAGTATACCCTAAGAATCCTGAAACACCAATTCAAAAGAACCTGTGCCTCCCAATGTTCATAGCAGCACAATTTACAGTAGCCAAGTGCTGGAAGCAACCTAAGTGCCCATCAGTAAGTGAGTGGATCAAAAAACTCTGGTATATTTACACCCTTCCCCACAGCATGGATGGACCTGGAGAGCATTACGGCTAAGTGAAATAAGCCAGGGGGTGAAAGACAAATACCATATGATCCGACCTATAAAGGGAACTTAATCAACAAAACAAACAAGCAAGGAAAATATAACCAGAGACATGGAAATAAAGAACAAACTGAGAGTAGTAACCAGAGGAGAGAGGGGAGGGAGATAAGGGGGTAAAGAAGGAGAAGGGTCATCAAGGAACATGTATAAAGGACCCTTGGACAAAGGCAAAGTGGGGAAGGGTTGAGGGTAGGAGGCGGGGGTGGGTGGGGTGGGGAAAAGTGGTGGGAAAATGGAGACAACTGTACCTGAATAATAATTTTAAAAAACTAAATTAAAAAAAAAAATTTAAATAAACAGAAGAGGCATACATAAAGTATAAATTATAAAGAGATAATGCATAAAGTGTAATTATCAAATGTAATACTTGGAATTGTCTGATCTTGATTCTAACCAGCCAAATGTAAAAAAGAAATTGGGAAAATTTAAATATGGTTTTGATATTAGGTGATATTCAGAAATTATTATTGATATTGTTAGGCAGGGTAAATGTTATGGTGATTAGAGTGTCCTTGTCAGTAAAAGAAAAAAAAAAAAGAATTCCAGGAGTTAGTCTTCCCGATTGCTAATTAGGTTTTTTTCCATTCTGTTCTTCCTTGTTTCCCTCAGGCTTTTCTTTCCATTTCCTCGGCAGCGCTTTCTGTTTCCAGGAACTCTCTTTGTCTTTAATTGCTCATCTTTCACTGCAGGCGCCTCCCACTGACTCGCCCTTCCCAACTGCGACCTAATCCCAGTTGGCGAGCTCCAGGCGGGCCTCACCCAGGGCCCCCCTTAAAGGACCATTCGTCGAGACGGGAAAGGCTGAGCCAAACGGATTTGGGGGAACACATCAGAGAGTTGTCTTCCTCCCTTAGGGACAGGGTGGTGGCTCCGGAAGTAATTGGGACACAAGGTTCCACGTGACTCAGTGAGCTACCTGCACCAGGTAAAGGAGAGCACGCTGTTTATGCCCATAACCTGCCCCCTGGCTTGCTAACCGGAGGTCCCAGAGCCACCCACAGCCCCCACATCTGCTTGTGAACAGACCTGGGATGCCTGAGTTCGTAGACCTCATACTTACTATAGGAGTTAGGGAGAACGGTTCCCTGAGGCAGAGAACTGTCAAAGGTCCCTTAACTACGCTAACCCCTTTGGGCTTTGTAATAATGGTCCAAAGTGACCTGTCACTTAGGCAAATCCCCCACTCAGCTTTGGCTACAGTAACACACACTTATGTGACCTTCCTGGTGAATTGCAAAGCCAGAATCACAAGCCTACCCAGTCTGGTGCCCAAGTTTGTGCTCTCCTCCCCTGGGCCACAATTAGCAGGCAGAGTCTGGAGACAAGCGATGGAGCCGCCACTTCATGCAAGAGCTCAGGCCGGCTGCTGGAACGAAATTCTTCCCACCCCTCCTTCCTACCTAGCCTTGACACAGCCCCTGCTCCCCCAAGGCTGAGGATCCTGTGGAACTTCACTGGGGAACCCACCCCCTCACTTCTCGGGCATCTCTCCTTTGTCATCTGACCCTGTCTGGTTTATGTCTTTTCAACATAACTCACGGTTTCTTCGCCATTGATGCTGATCTGTTCTTTTTTCAACAATATCCTTGCTTTTTCATACATTTTCATACATGGCTCTTTCATAAGTGTTGAGACAAGGGAGAGTCCAACTAGCAGTTCTCCCAGCCTCATTCCAGGTGTAACTGTGTGCGTCGAGCAGCCCTTTCCCCTTGTCCCCAAGGAGCAGCTCTCAGTGTCTTTAATGAAGTCACCCACAATGAGGCAGTGAGGGAAGGGGAGCAGAAATTGCTGATATTTCTTTTAAGCCATTTTAAACAGCTTCCCGAGACCTCTACTCAGCGGCTTGAGCTGCCAAATCTCTCCATGCGCAGTTGCCAGATTAGTCCAGAGCTCTCCAGGGTTTTCTTTTACTTACAGAGAAAGAAACAAGGAAGTGATAAAATGGGGGAGGGGGGAGTAAACAATGAAGCCTCTCAGGATCTCCTCTGTGCCAACTGCCTCACTTACCCCCCCCCCACCCCCCCAACCCCGTCATGGTTGGAATCAGCCAATAAGTTTGTATACAAAGACCTTTTCCCCGGCTACATGAACACAGAGAAATAGTCTGGGCAGGCAGCTGCCAGTCAGCACAGTGGGGGAAGCAGGATGCATGTCCAAAGAACCTGAAAAGAACTGGCTATGCTGGGATGGGATGGTACCTGTTAGGTGATAGCCCATTAGCGTGTGAATTAAAACACATTTGCCCCACATGTTTGATTAAAATGTTCAGTTTGATGTAGTGTTGGCAGCGGTGGTTTTGTGTATCTGATCTCCCATTCGATATAAACGATTCCTGCCTATTCACCAGAGAATGCTCCCCGATGCCCTTTACATCGTTGTTGTTGTTGTTATTATTACTCAAATCCATGGAAAGGAGAACGCGGGAGGGAGAGAGCATGAAGACTGAGTGACGAACTGTGCTTTCCTGCTTTCAGAACAACCCAAAGATGAAGCCGTGGATTTTCAGTCTCCTGTCCTTCCTGTGACCTGTGGCACACTGAAGGGGACTTTGTATCTGGAGAAGATGAAAGCAGGTGCGTTCCTTGGTGCGCTGAGCCTTGGACGCCCTGGATGAAGGGGCCGCTAGGAGGGAGGAGAACGGCCCTGTGGGCATGAAACGGGCCTGCAAACTGGGCTGCGCAAAAAGTGGGGGACGGTTTGCTAAGGAGGAGTTTTCAAACTTTCCCACATCGTGGGGCCTCTAAGGGCCAGGTCACTGCCCTCCCACACGGGAGTCATTCATCCGTGGACCCGGTAACGCCGACCGTCTCGTCCTTGCCACACGTCGGTGTCAGAGAAAAGGCAAATTTTCTCCCACGCCCTCCCCACACAGCCTGGTCTTAGGGCTTCCTTCAGTCTGAGAGAGGAGGAGCCCAGACTCCCTGTGACTGGTCCTGCCTCCCGGGGAGCGTCCCTGAACCCAGAATGGCAGAACCCCACCATTGAGTGGGGTAGAGGATTTGGGTAAACCCAGGGGATGGAAGTGGATTCTGGAATGGGCTGTCTTTGCCTTACAGGATCCCCAAGAATGTGCATTAAGACGGAAGATGGAAATTGGCTCACGCCATCTGAATTTGAAGCTGAAGGGAAAGGGAAAATATCAAAGAAGTGGAAGCGGAATGTGCGTTGCGGAGGGAAGACCTTAGAACAGCTGGCAAAGGTATTATAATGATGAAGGGCAGATAGACGGTGGGTTTAATTCCTTGAAGGATGAATGACATGTCAATAACAAGACTGTGAAGAGATTCCCATTAGGATTCCACAGCATGACTGAGAAAGAGCTACACCTTCACAGAAAAAAAGGTATGGATGATAAAATTAAAAACGCAGATCGGTGCCAATGGTGGAGACCTTCAAGTGCAGGCAAAGGGTTTTGAGGTCAGAAGAGATTTAAGAAGCGTTGCCTGGTGGTACTGGGTAGGGTGGGCTGGAAGGAAGCTGCGGGGAGACACAGACCTTGGCCATAGCTGCCCAGTGCCCTCCAACCACTGAACGCCTCCTCCAGGCCCCGGTCCAGGTGGGCCCGTGGTGAAGAGCGCCCAGGCGGTCCTGGGCGTGGTCGGTCTCTCCCCTGCGCTTCCCAGGGGAGACTGTTCCATCCCGGCAGCACCAAACAAGGGTGCTAGTGACCCCAGCACAAAGCCTCTCAGTTACACCCAGAAATGATCTCCAGGATGAAACCATAAGGTTTTATCTAGAGAGGAAGAAATGTAAACCAAAAGGAGTGGGTGGGGAAGGGACTGAGAAAAAGAACTGGCAGGTCTTGGGTGTGAGTAACTGAGAAAGAAAAATGATTTTATCAAGTCCAAAAGAAAAATCGATTGGAGGAAGGAGCTCATTTTTCCTTTGGACACCTTGGGTTTGAGACATAGTAGGCTGTACAGGTATAAAAATTCACTAGGAAGTAGGACTTTTGATATGACAAAAGGTAAACCTCAGAATAACCAAGCCTTTGACCTCTTCTCTCTTTCAGGACAGACTCGTGCACTTTCCTTCAAGTCTCAAGAGAGAGGTAAATAGCAAGTGAATTTCTACCACATTCTCAGTCACCAGGTGGCGGACTTTTAGTATCCCAGCCCCAGTGAGCTTCACATTTAGACACTGCGCCTTCAAGTCGACTGCTTTAGCTCTGTGGTCCATGCACATGCTGCCAGTGTTCTCATAGCTGATTTGAGATAGGGAAGCCAACAACTCTTTAAAATAAAGATCAGGACAAAAGCTGATGATGTATGTGTGCTGGAGACAAAGATCTGGATAGATGGATGATTACAAACCCAGGGTGTCAGAAATTGAGCGCTCTGGTTTGAAAAGTAAACATAATATTGAAACAGAAAAGAACAGAAAGGGCAAGACGATCATCCCTGATTGAACACCAAGTCACCCCAATTCTGTAGGCTCTGTCTCAAGAGCAGCAGAATGAAAGACTGTGTTTGAACTAAGCTTTGTCTCCGCAGAGCTTCCCTCCAGGTGAAAAGGACAGTCCAGCAGCTGTGCCAGCAGCTTTTCCTCAGCCTTCTTTGCTTGCCTAGATGCACCTTCCAAACGCGAGTCCTATTCTTGGGCTTCCCAGTGGACATGAACCTCCAGCGGAGGCAACGATAGTGCCTCTCCCACCTTACCCTGGAGGCTCACCTGACCCCTGGTTGGATCCATTCAAAGTTCGTTAGGCAATGTTCCCCCAAAGCCATTTCTTGTATAAACTGTCTTTTCCATGCTGATTTGAAACACCTTGATACAAGAGATACTCCTTATAATAGCAAAAAATCAGAGAGGACTACAAATGTCCATCAGTATTTTAAAATGACCTAAGGCATCTACAGAATGGTATATATTTTTTTTTTTAATGAATGGATTCATAGGTGAAGATTCATCCTGCAGTCAGTGGAAAGCCACACGAGGGGTTTGAAGTCAGGAAAGCTTTGGGAAGCTCAAACTGGTAGTAACATCTACGGAAGGAACCCATTTTTGTTTATGTGACTCTGTAGGTCTATGACTTTTATAAAATCTGAAAGAACAGACTATGCTGGGGTGGGATAACAGGGGAAATCTGCCTTCCATATTATGCGTTTATGTACATGTGGAATTTTTATGACCATCTGTTACTTTTGTAACCAGAAAACAATAAAGATATTTAAAATCAGATCATTAATTAATGGCCCCAACACAATAGTTTCTTCTTACTCATAATGCCACATGTCAGCACATGACAGCCTGGGCACACTTGGCCCCCCTTGCAGTCCCACCTGTCGGGGCCACATTGCGAGAGTGAGAATGAAGTCTACTTCTGACTACAGACAGACTAACGCGGGCCTTTGCCTGAGCCTCGTCACCCGACACGTGACTGCTGCTCTGCAGTATACCCAGTCCCCGCTGGTGTGTGCCTGTGTACACGTGTACCATCAAGACACCCGATGCTGATACCACACACATGTGTTCTGTGGCTTCCCTGCGGGGTGCTGGTCCCAAGACCCAAGGCAAAATGGGTGGCTGGTGCAGAGTCCCGGCCTCCCGTGAGGGCCCGCAGCTCCAAGGCGCCAGTGTGCAGGCACCACTTGCTACCCAGGCGAGTGTAGTATGGGGCTGAGGAGGACAGTTAGGGGCAGGGTGAGGATTCTCTTGCTGAGCCAGGGCCTGTCTGGTTTAACTTGCTACTAGAGCTGAGGGAAGGAACCCACAGCTTTCCTATCAACTGGCCCCGATGTGGCAAGAGGGTAAGAGGAGGGGGAGGGGCTTGAAGCTGTCAGCGGTCCTCCTAAAAACCAGAGTCAGGCTCTTTATTACATAACGTGACTGTGGAGCTGTATGTCCTTTCTCTGTCATCTCTCTATCATGTCATGTGTGCTGGAAACACTTTCCCTCCAAAGCATACGGCTGCCGGTGCCTGGGGTTGGGCTCAGGACGCTAGACCCAACCAGAGTCTCCACGAGGAAGAGTCGGTAGGTCTGGGCCCCGCGGGGACTGGCCTCTGCACCCTGGGGCAGGGAAAGCCAGGCGTCTAGTCAGAGGGCAAGAAAGGCCACAGAGCATCAACCCCAACAACAAGGAAAGGAGACTGGAGAGCAGAGGGTGGGGAGGCTGGAAAGATCCCCTGGACTTCCGGGTGGAGGGGCCCCTCCTGAGGACATCCGGGGGCCAGGACATGGAGGTTGCTGCTGAGAAGCCTCCCCCGGTTATGAGAGAGAGGAACACGATCCCCAAAGCAAAGGTAATTTTTGCTCTTGCTGAGTGGCTCGTGTGGGGAATGGAGAAGCGTTTCCTCCTTGGAGCCTTTGTGCAGGTCCCCACGCTTGGGTTATGGACAGCTGAGGGCGGTGGCGGGGTTACTCCCTGTAGGAGCGGCCTGTCCCAGCCCCGTGGAGCCTTCGCTCCAGCTCCCGATGGTCTATTTCCCGCCTTTTCACCCCCCACCATCCCTCGGGGGTGAGGTATGAGAATGCTGCAGACAGGCACAGAGGAAGAACGCTTCTTCCTGACTCCCATCTTGAGCACAGAGAAAGGGGTCTCTTGTCCGTGTAGAGCCCACGCTGTCTGTTCTGGGGGACGCGGAGCAGAGCCAGCGCTTCGCCCAGCAGGAGAGACGTCGTTTCTCACATGAATCACTGGCAGAATTTCCTGATCACATTCTAAGGCCACAAGAAAGACCCGTATTATTTCTTAAGCCCACAAAGCTCCCCATTGCACAGCAGCTCTGTCTTGCTGTATGTGTCCTTCCGACCGTCAGCCACAGCATTAGGGACCGTTCTCTGAGTGGCCCGCGATGGCACCCAGCAGTAGGTTCAATAGAGCTGTGCTTCTAACCACCTCCCGGGCGATGCCAAGGCCGCCAGTGCTCCGCCCATACTGTGTGCAACGGGCTTACAGGACCGTCTAGTCCAGTCCCTCCTGGCTCTGATAGTCTGGTTCAAGTGACAATGGGACCGTTACTTTTGACACCAGGCTCTTCCAGGACTGAAAGGCCAGGCTGGTCCTGCATCAGCATCCGGCCGGAACACCCGGTCAGTGGGGTTGAGCGCATCCGCTCGGACCCACAAGGGCGCGGTGTCCCAGGGCCCCACGACGTTCGCGTTCACTGGGTCCTGCCCGTCCCAGCAGCGCCCGCACTATCTCCTCTTCTAGCGGGAAAACGCGGACGAATGTGAGGTGTGCTGCAGAGGGGGACGGCTGCTCTGCTGCGACACTTGTCCACGAGCCTTTCATGAGGACTGTCACATCCCGCCCGCGGAGGCTCAGAGGTTAGTGAGACGCAGCCGCCGCGCGCAGCCCTCCCCCGGCTCGGCCTCTGGCCGCGCGGCTCCTGCGGGAAGAACAGGACTGAGAGGACAGCGCGCGCAGGTGTGCTCAGGGCAGCCGGGTGCGGCACGGCCTCGGTTCCCTCTGGGGGCGGTTACAGCCTCGTGGCCGTGAGTCTGCAGCTGGGCCAGCTTGGCTGTCACTGTCCCACAGAGATGTCCTTTTCTGGTCTGCAGCGCAGACTCCCGTCCAAGGAGCATGTGGACGGGAAATGCCAGCTGCCTGTGCTCTGTGGTTCTGCAGAAAAGGCCGGGTTCCTCCCCTTTGCTACATTCTCAAAGGGCTGATGGGGCCCCAGGGGTTAAGGTCCAGTCTCCAGCGCTCAGGCCTGGTGGGCAGGGCTCCTTATGCTCCCAGCAGCTCAGATGGGGAAGGGAGCGCCCACCACCCACCCTGGCACCACCCTCCACCTACTGGCCCCAGCTGCCACCCTCATGGCAGGGGCGGCATCCGGTCAAAACCCTCCTGGGGATCTCAGGTGGTGTCCCCTTCTGGCCCCTGCGGTGCCCATCAGCCATTCCTGAGAGGAGAGCAGCGGCAGCCGCAGGAACGGTGGCTGTTCCTGCGCTTTGCCCGGCTCAGTTGCCCGACCCCTCAGGAGCCCGTGGAGCTGCACCTTCTGCAGGATAAAGGAGTCTTCAGGAAGCCGGCAGTGTGGCAGGGAGCCCGAGGGCCTGGCCAGGCCGATGGAGCCTGAGGAGCAGCTGGTGAGTCCGGTTCAAGCCCCAACCAAGCGTCCTCCTTTGTGCTCACGTGTGAGAAGTCGAACAGTCGCAGGCTCAGGGAAAGGGCCCTCAGGGTGACTCGCTTCAGAGGGTGTAACTCAGCACCTCAAAACGGAGTCCGAACAGAGTTCAACACCACTCAGGGCCCTGAGACAAAGGCAGCCAGAGGGCCGGTGTCTGCAGCCGCTCCCGCGTGCAGGTCTGGACACAAGCCTGGCTGTGTGCTGCCTACGAGCTGCGTTTCCCTTTAAAGCCCTCTTGACGTTTTACAGAAATGCGAGTTCCTCCTCTTGAAGACCTACTGTCATCCACGAAGCACCTTTTTTGCGAAGACCCCCTGTAATGTAAGTCAGATGCAATGACGCTCATCTCCCAGCCGTCTCTCTGATGTCAAACTCAGCGCTGGAGACTTGGAGGCTGAGCCCTGCGGGGGGGGGCTACTTCACCTGCCTCGGGTCCTGGTTTCACCTCCTCTTAGGGGGCGCTGTCTTTCTTAAGGATAGTTTATGGATTAGGAGCTCAAACTCATAGCCAAACAGTGGGTTCAAGTTCCAGCTCTACCACTTTTTTGCTGAGACATCTCAGGTAGGTGCTTAACCTCTCCATCCCTAGGTATCCTCATCTGAAGTGGGAGTAATTTTAGTGCCTGTGTCACAGGGTCATTGTGGAGAGCACGTGTCATGGTGGTGGCAGTGCTTAGAATAAAGCCTGGTATATAGGTGTCAGGTGGTATTATCATTAATACCCTGGAAATAGAGACTTGCATTTCAGTTCGATCCATCCAGTCTTGATGACTGGGCTAATATCACTCCCTTTGGTGGCTTTGTCCCTAGATTCAAGATTACGGTGAGCCCTTTAGGGAAGCCATGTGGCTGGACCTGGTAAAAGAAAGGTTGGCTGAGAAAGTGTACACAGTGGCATGGTTCGTACGGGACATGCGCCTGATCTTTCACAACCATAAAATATTTTACAAGGTAAAGGACATACCCTGCTTCCTTCTCATGCCCTTCCTACTTTCCCCTAACTTCTGGTTGACAGACTTTGCAAGAATTTTACCCAGTCTCTTCCTAGAGAGCGCTCAGAAAACAAGAATTCCAGTGGGCAGGGGGGGGCGGGGGGAGGTGGCAGGGGGAACCCCTCCGCATTCCAGGGGTAAATGTCAAAAAGAGCCATAAGCAGGACACGGTGCCTGGAAAAATCCACCTTCAGGTCCCAGGTTGGGGGGGCTACTCCAATGGTACAGTCAATTTTGTCCAACCTCCTTATTCAAACTGAAAGGGGCCATTTATGCTTCCATTGTTCTTCATGCCCTAGAAGTACAGAAATAATGAATTAATGAAACAACATGAAATAAATTAAACTTCCAGGATACTCGTACTTGGTCTTTTTGACCTAAATTTCCCAGTGGATTCAGACATCATCTCAAATTGCCCTCAGAGCTTGTTGTCGTCTACCTTCTTTGAAGGGGAGAGACAATTAGTTGAGACACTTTGCAATTCAAGGCATTCTTAACGTTAGTTTCTTGAGTTTCTCCTGAGTTTTACTCTCACTTGTACAGACGTTTTTGGCGGAGGTAGCTCAGGAAGATGCTCATCTTCACCCAAGATGAACGGGCTTTCAAGAATGGGCTTTCAAGAAATGCTTGCATGTTACCTATTTCACACCAGTTTCAGGCTTTACAGTGATCAGAATCAGCTCTTCAGGGCAGACCACTGGGCAGGTCCAGGTGAACAGCCAGGCAGAGCCTCATCCACGTCAGTGAAGCAGCAGCGTCTCCCCACCATGCTGCCCGAGTGCTGGATGAGGGAGGGCAGGGCCTCTAAGACAGACCCTTGGTTTAATGGCCCTAATCCTTGGTTCGTAGACATCCATGCATTTGCTTTTTTCTGTTTTAGGCTTCCAACTTTGGTCAAGTAGGACTGGATTTAGAGACAGAATTTGAAAAGGATCTCAAAGAGGTGCTTATTTTTCATGAAGCCAAGGAGAAGAGTTTCCAGGCTCCCCCTTGACCCCCTTCTGGAAGGACTGAGGTTCCCCAACTTCAGGGTCCCGATGATGTAACCCTGGTCATCCTCAGATTGCCTGTGAGTCTGGAAATGTGATCAGATGTCCCCTCGACTCAAATCCAGGCTCTTCACAGAATTCTCACGCCCCCCACCTTTGTGCAGCCTCATACTAAAAAACTGAGTACTTCCTTAATACCATTAAATGCCCACCATAGTTCACATTCTCCAAATCTTTTTACAGTTGCTTGCTTTTGGCTTATCTGTCTCTTAAGTCCCTTTTATTCTATAAGTTTACCACATTTTTTTCCTTGCTTTCTATTCATTGGAGAATCTGAGGCCCGGTCCCATAAAAGGTTTCATATTCTAGACTTTTCTACATGCATACCACTATGAAAAATTCATTAAGTTAATCTAAATTTGTGTGGAATTTATTTGTTTCTGTTACATATTTATACTGTTGCAAAGAGGGTTGGGTGTTTTTTTAGAATTTTGCATTTGTATTTATAAATGAGATTGGTCTGTAAGTTTTTGTATAATGCCATAGTCAAGTATAGGATTGTCCTCTCTTGGGAAAATAACTCATAAAACTTTCTACCATGGTACACATTCTGGAATAGTTAATAGTGTTTTAAATTCATAAAATTATACAGCCTAGAGTTCATCAGAGATTTATACTGACTCTCTTCTCAGCTTTTTCATGGTGATTAGACTATTCAGATATCTATTACTTTTTTAATCAGTTCTACTTTTACATTTTCCTAAGAAGTGATCCATTGAATTTTTTTACAGTTGGCCTTATTTCCCTGTTATTTAATTCTTTCCCTTTTGAATACTTTATATTATTTTTGTCTGTATTTCTTTCTTCTTATTTTCTATTCTGGAGGTATTGTAACAGTTTTTAATTCTGTGAATACTCACTTGAAAGTTTTCCAAGTTCATTTTAACTTATTTTTTTCAAATATCAGAGCCAAAATAAAATATCTTTAATGAACCACACGTTTAAGCCAAACTGTTTGTCAACTCTGTGTCCCTCAGTCTATCTGCTGTTTTGTAATATGGATATTCATTATTATTATTATTAAAATTTTTATCTTTTACTCTAATTATTTTAACTTTATTTAATTATATAAGTCATTATTTTGTTGTTTTTACATTACATCAATTGTTCAGTGAAATAGCATATAACATAATTGAAAAACAAAAATGAAATTTTTCATCATATGGTAATCCATGGTCATGAAAATAATATTGCTGTATTTCTGTTTTTACTATTTGGGATTCCCCAGTGGCCTTCTCTTGCATGGCTTCTCCGTACCTCATTTTTGCACCATCTCTCAGTCAACTGAAGTTTCAGTAACGTGAAGAGTACATGGGGAGTATGCTTTGAGTCTTTGCACTTCTCAAAATGTCCTTGATCATTTTCATAAATCAACCACAAACTGTGCTACAGCGTATGTCTTAACAGAACTTCTCACCTTCTCAGTTGAATAAACTTTGTTCCACTGCCTTGGGGTATTTTGCTCTGTAATCAGTGAAAATTCTGTTTCTATGTTGGCGTGTGGACACGGATGGGGTGCCTGCCTTTATCTCTGCAGCTGTGTGTTTAGTTATTTCTGACAAGATAGGATTCATTCTTACCATTGGTCCTGCCTGGGCACCCCGAGCCCTTTCGATACACATACCTGGCTCTTTTTTCAGTTCCATTAAGTCTTTCTGATCCATTTATTCTGGGCTCACTTTCAAGAACATCTATTATCTGTACGCTGTCTATCTGTTCTCTGTCTCCCTACTTATCACAAAAAAAAAAAAAAGAAGTTCCAAACAGCACTCCTTTTAGGTCATTAGTATGAGACTTACATATATTAACTTAAAACAATTGTGACTTTATGGTCAATGTTTTAAACTGAATGATTTTTTTAGCATTTTAATAATATGAATTGCTGTCTATTGACCAAGCCTCAAAGGATATAAATTTTTATCACAATATTTTCATTTCCTCAACACAAAAATAGAAAAAGTCATTGCAACTTACAAAGTTTTCCTGATCTGTGTTTCTGATTTTTCATTCTTCTTGAGTGTCCATGGAGGATTGTTATGAACAGGATTGTCCGCCCCTCCCCAAAATTCATAGGTTGAAGCCCTAACCCCCAATGTGACTATTTGGAGAGAGGGCCGCTAAGGAGACATTGAAAGCTTAAGTGAGGCCAAAAAGATAAGGCCTTAATCAGATAAAAGGAGTGCCCTTATAAGAGGAGGAAGAGACAGCAGAGATCGCTCTCCACACAGACACGGGGGAGAGGCTGGGGGAGGACACCTAAAGTCAGTGGCTTATTGCAGGGTGGGAGGGAGCTCTCGCCAGGAACTGAAACAGCTGGCGCGTGACCTCTTGTGTAAGCCATCGGGTCTGTGGGATTTTGTGACAGCAGCCCCGAGCTGACTAATACAAAGAACGAGCGGCCGCATCACTGCCCCGCCCCCTGCCCCAGAGCAAGGCAGGCACCGCCCAACAGGACCCCGGGTTTCTCAGTGAGCACCTGGGAGAAGGGCTTCTTGGAGCCCCCGTGGAGGTACCCAGTGTCACACACCAACAAACAGAGAATGGATAGAAATCTCCTTAGTGTCTGTTTCCAGGTGTTTCCACAGTAATGTGAACTGCGAAATGGACCGATTTCACCTGCAATCCAGAAAAGGGTGGAGGCAGTTTGTAATGAAATAGAATCATTTTTTATCGTATGGCAAGATGACAAATACAGCCCTAAAGACTGCCACTCCTGGTGCCATTCCGGGAGGGGGGGGGGGTCCTAGAGATGATCATCTCATGGTATGGTCTTCAGATTTCCAAATCCTTCTAAGGGGAGTGCTAAACGTTTCTCTTCCTAGCATAATCTTAACGCATTATGATCAAAGATTCCCCCTCCCCACTGGTTCCCGCTAGGCAGAATTGCTGTGATTTAAATAATCTTGCATCCATTTGTGACCCTTTCTTTCATTTTGGCACTATAAGCTGAATTAACTCTCTCTCCCCACCCCACCCCCACCCCAAAATCAGGGGTCTTGGTTGCTCTATTACTTAAACACACACACACAAATAAACAAAAACACATTAAGGAGTCATTTATTTCTTTCAAGTTTCAACCACTAGCGTTCTGGTTGTCATGACAATCAAGACCCCATCTCTGGGACCATATCTCCCTTTGGCTCCCTTGTGTTGTGGATCTGCTCTCCTGGTTTTCAAACTATTCCCACCCCCAAGAACAGGATTTGGTTTATTCTGCTTAGTTCCGCTGAGAATCATAGGGATTCCCCAATCCCTAGCAGCTGTAGGCACAGGCCACCCTGGTCTCCCGCTACCCTGCCCCACCCAATTTGGGCACACAGCTCCTTAGATATTAAGGACTCCTAATGAAACCAGTGCCTGTGATAACCCTGTGGACAATGCCAACGGCCTCTCCCCAGGGATCCCTTTCAGCCCCGTACCCGGGCTCTTTCTCTCTTCCTGGTCCGGCCAGGTTTCATTGCTTCCCTCCCACACTGGCCAGGGCTGCCAAGAGCACGGGTCAACTCAGGACTGCCTCCACCCAAGCTGTGACACAGGCAGTTATAAAGGGCTCCTGAATGGTTCCCTGAAGCTTGACAATGCTGACGCTGCAAAAATGAGAGAGAAAATCTTTGCCGAAAAGTGACTGGAAGAATCCAAAGTAAAAATATATTCCCTCCTCCGGCTGGCACCAGAATTCAACCTTGGAAAACTCATTTTTAGGAGCTGGGAAGCCACGGGCCCCTGGTCAAGTACACCTGCCCTTGGGAGAGGTGGACTTCATTAGCAATCAGCCTCTGGGCTGTGCAGCACCTTCCTCGGGGTCCTTCTGAGCTCCAGCAAGCTGGGCTTCTATGGGCAGCTGTATTGGATACACTGCCGTTCCACCACCAGAGGGCAGAGAGGACCCTCTCCAGAAACCGAAAAGAACTGAGGCAGCAAAACTCCCGTGAGAACCAGGAACTGGAGCTTTAAAGAGGGCAAAGGTGCTCTCAATGACTCTATGATTGGGCATCTGGTAACAGGAACACCAACCAGAGCGTCAGCCAGACCTTCTCCAGAGTAGGCTGGCTAAAATAACCAGGTGGACCGTTGTAGTGAGGCATAGGCTTGCACCTGGAGAAAATTTAAGTGAGGATTTTCTCACCGTGACAGAGGTCAGAGGTCCCCTCTGTTCCTCATCACGAGCTGGAAGCCTCACAGCTAGTGTAATGCAGCAACGGAGGTGCACTGAACAATGGGAATGGGAAAGAGTGTGGTGTGGTCTAGTTTTTCACCAAACAAGTTGTGGCCTTGTGGTAAGCCCAGCCAGGACATGGCCAACAGCTCACTGAGACCGGGGCTCTAGATCTCCCATTCACTCAGACCTGGATTACAGGTCTCCCATTTCCAAGAACTTGGCCTGTTGTCCAAGATGCTACAGGTCAAGGGTCAGGTCCTCACTACTAGAGGGGTCCTGGGTCCTGATAAAGTAAATCTGGCCAAGTGGTGTTGAGAGAGAGATGTTTGTACCTCTGTCGGCTTCCCACTGAACTTGTTGAGGAGGAAACACTTCTCCTCTACCCTTCTAGATTCTTCTGGCTAGAAGAATTAAATTGACATGAGAAAGATAACAAGAAGAAAAAAACTAATTTAATTTTGCACATATGGGAGCTCTATAAGAATATGGGGACCCACAGATGGTCAGGTAATTGGGCTCTATCTGCCATTCCGAACTAAGGAGAAAGGGGTAAAAGTCTGGGGCTTCCAAGGGGAGGAAGGCAATTCACAGAAAGATGGGAAGAGCAAATGTTTGGTAAGCAAATGTTTGCATGCCCTGCAGAGACCGAGAGAAGCATCTGATCTCCAGGCCCTGCCAGGCGACCCCCAAGCCCACCACTTGCACCCACATTCTTTGTAGTTATTTCTAGTGATAGCTCTCTTCCTGGAACAGGCCCTCCATCTACAATTGTTTCAGGCAGTTGAGGAGGAGGTAAAAAGTTTGCTTCTTAAAAATAATCAGCCTAGCCTGGCTGGTGTGGCTCAGTGGACTGAGTGCCAGCCTGTGAACCAAAGGGCCACCGGTTCGATTCCCAGTCAGGGTACATGCCTGGGTTGTGGGCCAGGTCCACAGAAAGGGGTGGGCGAGACGCAACCACATATTGATGTTTGTCTCCCTCTCTTTCTCCCTCCCTTCCCTCCTCTCTAAAAATAAATAAATAAATAATTCTTGAAGGGGGGAAAAAAGATCTTAAAAAAAAAACTTTTTTAAATAATCATCAGCCTGAAATAATCCTCATGCCAAAAAGACATATTTTGGGGTGGAAAAATCCTGCTTCCCTATAAAACGGTCAACCACTTCAGAATCACCAAGGAGCCTGTTCAAATGCCGCTTCTGGGGTTCCTGACCCCGTCTGAGAACCTCTATGTTTGATGTTCTGGCAAGACTGGCAA